TGGCCTTGAGAAGGAGATGGATATGCTTTTCTTCGATCTGGGAAGAACAGGATACATGAGGCTTGAAGGCTGAGTTGCTTGACAACTTAAAGCAAGTTCAAAAGGAATGGAAAATGGAGCTTGTTAAGTCATGGAACTTAAAGGATTGTTTGTTACCTTTTCTGATTGTACAGGCATACTCACGTTTGGTATGTAAAAGCAATGTTCTGTATATTTAGAATGTTTGATGTTTGTGTGTGCCTGTTGGTGGAGCGTAGACTCCCCACACACCCAGCGATGTTTACTTGCCTTTTATACATTTTATAAATATTGCTTTTATAAATATTCCTTTTACAAATATTCAGATTGAGTTAAGACTTCATTTATAACATTTCTTTAGATAACGTACGTCAGGACCCCTACACAAGGGGGTTTAATGGTAGCAGCTTTCTCTTCATCATCTTCATGGCGTAAATTCGGAAGAGACTTCAGGACGCAGGAGGAGGCTGCAGGGGGCAACTCGGGGCTCTACTCCCCTCCACACTCCCCTGGGGCTCTGAAGGGGGTGGCTGCAGACCAAATACGTTAGCTGGGAGCACGAGTTGCTGCTGACCCCATCAAGGTTGATGTAGGCACATTGGCCATTGCCCCAGATACTGAACCTGCACAAAGAAGCAGAAGGAGAAGTCAAGGGGCTGAGCATCTCCCACATAAGCAAACGGTGCTGGAAGGAGGAGGAAGAATCCTTTCCAGCGGACAATGACCCCCATGCAAAGCTAAATCTGCCCCCTTCTATGAAGGAAGGAATATTTTTTGTTGCTCAATCCCATATGGTTCATCCCTCTGCATCCACAAGCTGCTTCCCAAGGACCTAGCATTAGAAGAAGGGGTAGTTAATTGCTCCCATCCCATTAAAAAATATGAGAAAAAGAAGGCAGGACATACAGGTTGTTGAAGAGAGACCCATTGCACCATCTCCAGGGGTCGAATCCCTCTCGATGCAGACTGACCCAGTAGTACAAGGCATGTCCGTAGCGCAATAGGAAGCGCTGGAAAGCAAAGAAGAAATGTTGTGCCCATCTTCACCTTACACCCTCCAAGGAACCCCACAGCTGCTTCTTAAAAAGCCACCCCAGCACCCAGCAAACCCCTCATTTAACCAAGTCCTCCTGGCTGTCGATGGTGGCCAGCTGGGCTCCTTGGGAGAGGCAGAAGCTCTGGCTCTTGTTCCAGTTGGCCTCATCTTCCACAAAGTAGAAGCATTTCTCCCCAAACCTGATGCCGTTCCCTGAGCAGCCAGGAAGGATGGGAGAGGGGCAGGACGGACATTTCCTGGCTGGAAATAAGCAGAAGGAATTCTGGTGAAACCTTTACCCAGCGTATTTTAATTGGTGGTGATGATTTGACAGATCTAATCCTGTAAAAAAACATGTTAATTTTCACTTCTCTTTTCATTTTTGTTGTTTTCACCTTTCTGTTCATGTTCCAAATATTCATTTTCAGCTCCAGAAGCCACTTAGGGCTGAAATAAACACCTCCTTCCCTCCCCATAAAGGTCTTTCTGCAGCTTCCTCCTGGAGTTGAGTGTTTTGGGGCAGTTTTGGCTCCATAAGGGACAAATTTTGCCCCCGTCCAGGTTTTCCCATGGCATCCCATGCCCAGCCCCTGCCCTATCCTCACCACTGGGTTTTCTAAAGGGAAGGAGAGGATTCTGGTAGGGCCACCTCCATCCTCTTACCTGCCAGGGCAATGATAGCGATCAGCAATGCTGCCACGAGCACGGTGACCCTGATGGGGAACAGTTTGTTCTTAAGGCACTTGAGGCTAAAAGCTGGAGGGAGAACAAAGCAACGGAGCATGGAGGAGAGGCACGGTCAACAAACACAGGGTGCAAGTGCATCCAAGAGCCCCCCGAGCTCCCCACTGCCTTCCTACTCCCCCCAGCACCTGAAAATACACCCAGAAAGCACGTATCTCGGGGAAAAGGCTCAGTTCAGAGGCTGCCATTGGCTTCCGAGGATTTTTAGGGCTGCCTGAGCTCATTGCATCACTTCCATCCCCTTCAAGCTCGGAAATGAGCATTGCACCCACACCCACAGCTCAGGCCATCCCATACCTCTCACAGCTTTCCCTTCTTTAGCCCCTCTCCCCAGCTATTTTAATTAAATTAAATTATGCCCACGTAGCTCTAAGCCCTGCCATGACCTCCAGCAGCACTGCGGCGTCCCCAAAACAAGATTGGTGCTCACTCATCTCTTTCGCTCCTCGGCATGAGGGCATCATCGCAGCAGCGGGGTCCTCACCTATAACAAAGCCAAGGGGCTGGTAAGAACGTGGAGGAGCCCCTCTGCCTTCTGCCTGGCCCCGTGAGCAGGGTCAGGCCCCACACACCCCTCTGCACCCATTAGGGCCAGCCCGAGGGCTGCAGCAGCAGCTCATTCCCTTATTTTGGGGGAGATGGAAAGCAGACAGTGGTGGATGCATGGTTTCCACCTTCCTGCTTCAAAGGGGGGTTCGAGCCTATCGCTTCCAAGGCAGGAAACCATTTCAGCTTTTCTCTCCATTTTGCCCCATTCCATTCCTTCTCTTGATTACAAATACTGGAGAATTCCAGGGCTAGTCGTGCGAACAATATATCTTGCTTTAAGTTGTTTAACAACTCAGCCTTCGGGCCTTATGTATCCTATTCTTCCCAGATCGAAGGGAAACATTTCTGTCTCCTTTTCAAGGCCTATAGGGCCTGGGTCAAAAGGTACATTCAGATCACCAGGGGGGCGTAACAGAAAAGGCCTGTGATGGCGGTAGCAGCGTGGCAGCCAATGGTGTAGCAGAAGGATGGTGACGAGGAGTCACCACCCTTCATCTGCACGACCTGCAGCAACCACCACCAGGAGACACTGTGCAAGCACATATACAGGGAGTTTATGGAAATGACTTCTTGAACTAATTTTAATATGAAGCAGGAACAGGTCATGCATATGTATAGGGTCATTGTGAAACTTCATGCATATGCAACTCCTTACTGCTTATAACCATGGCAAGTTGCCATGTCGCATGTGCATGACTTTGGTGGGACTACCCCCGTGCTGCCCAGTCCTAAATAAACATACCTACTTTACAATCTTACTGCTTGTGGAGTCCTTTTTCTGCAAGTCACAGCACCACGCTGGGTTCGGTCATACCCTTTCCCCCCCTCTCTGGGAGAGCATCAGAAAAAAATGAAGCCTGTGTGTTGAGATAGACATGTTTTTTTAGGACAGAAAATAAAGGAAAAGAATAATAATAATGGTAATAGTACTGCTACTGAAATCTTTAAAAAAATGAAAGAAAAATTTGGGAAACCTGCCCTGGCTGGCTGCCCCTTCCCTCCCAATTTCAGTCCCTAGCTGAGCATTGCTTGCTCAGCCAGCCCCCAATTTTGCTGCTCAGATATGGACTTACCCTAAGAGCAGTATTTCGAGTCCTGGTGTGTTTTGTCTTCTTGATTGTGCAGAGATTTAATGAGTCAGGGGGAAGCAAAGCAGCACGGATCATATGGTCCCATGTGTCAGCTGTTGCCTTTAACGAATTTAACGAGAAGAGCGAAAGAGAGAGAAGGAGAAAGAGAGAGAGAGAGAGAGAGAGAGAGAGAGAGAGAGAGAGAGAGAGAGAGAAAGAAAGAAGAGAGAAAGAAAGAAAGAGAGAAAGAAAGAAAGAGAGAAAGAAAGAAAGAGAGAAAGAAAGAAAGAGAGAAAGAAAGAAAGAGAGAAAGAAAGAAAGAAAGAAAGAAAGAAAGAAAGAAAGAAAGAAAGAAAGAAAGAAAGAAAGAAAGAAAGAAAGAAAGAAAGAAGGAAAGCTCACTGCTGCTGCTTGGAGTTCTCTTAATGATGTTATCCTGGTGCCAAAAGAGGAAGAGGAGCAAATCTGTTATTTTTGTTGAAGAAACCCCGTTCACAGGATGATTTTTAACACCCCTCTTTAGCGGGGGCAGAGGTGGGGGAGGAATAACGGTAAAAGCTCCGGATGCAGCATTTTTTTCTCAGCAGGGCTGATGAATCTTACCTGCAAAGAGAGGGGTGACGAAATGCGGCTTCAACTCCCCTCTTCTTGCGGAAAACTGGTGTTTTTGAGGCTCTTTTGAGGTCTGGTTGGCTGCAGGATGCATATCGTTTAGGGGATGCATATCCTTTAGGGTGCATATCCAAATAGTCTTTTTTCCCCTCAAAACAAAATTCTTTTTTTTTTTTTCTTTTTCATTGAGGGTGGAGAGGGCAAGGGGAAGACAGGGGAGGGACAACTCCTAGTTGATCAAGATGGTTTTTCATGGTGTGAAAAGCCAATCTGTAGCTTCGGCTTGCTGTAGCAACAGGAAAAAGAAGTTGAAGAAACAACAGTTCTTTTTTTTTTTTTTTTTTTTTTTTTTTTTTTTACAGTTTGGTGTGGTTTCTTTGTTTGTTTTGCAAGTAAATCCTGGAAGAACACAGCAGGAAAGTTGTGCACAGGCAGGGGCTGAGGAAAGGCTTCTGCCAGTGCCTGGCAGAACAGTGAAGAAGGGATTAAATGCTGGTGAAAATAAAATATAAAATAAAATAAAATAAAATAAAATAAAATAAAATAAAATAAAATAAAATAAAATAAAATAAAATAAAATAAAATAAAACAAAACAAAACAAAACAAAACAAAACAAAATAACAAACATTTTCTTAGCTGCCTTCTAGCACATGTGTCTTTCTTACTGGAATCATAAAGAAGAAGTGACTTATGCACATCAAGGGGATTTGTCTTGGCCCACACAAGGATGGGGTAAAACAATAAAAGATACAAAAGGGCAAGCCGTGAGCCTGGAGGAGGCAGGAGGATCTTGTGCCCCTCACCAGGGCGAGGGTGTTGGTGACCCCACAAGCTTTCAGGAACGGCCATGGAACGGCCGTGAGCTGTGGCAGGAAGCTCTGGCCCCGCCGCTGGTTTGCACTTCAGCATTGCAGCTCTGAGCGTTTGGGTTTCCTGTCCTCTGGACCCCGTCGTGTCCCTTCCACCTGCCATGTGTCCTCCTGCCATGGAGGATGAGGATGGCTACATGGCCTTGGACAGGCGATGCAAGCGGGGTGCTGTGCAGAGGCCGGGACCCCTCCAGGACACAGCTAGTGGTGTCCGATCCTCCGTCTCCACCACAGGTTTGTGGTAGCGATTGCTTGGCGGGGGGAAGAAGCGGGGAGGAGAAGCTCTTGGGGTCCCAGAGAGTCACTCAAGCTGGGGAAACTGAGAGGGGGCTTGGGGTGGTCACTTGCCTTTGATTAGCTCAGTATCATGGAATAAAAATGGTTTTGCATCAGAAGTGGGAACAAGGGAAAGCAGAGGAAATACCAGAGAGGTGGTTCCATTGTTCCATGAAGGCTGGAGATGGATGAAATGTGAGAAAAGAGAGAGAAAGGAAGCATTTTTAGGACCTCTGCTGTACAGTACTCCCTTGCACGGCGAAGTGCTCGGCAGTACACCCCCATTTTCTAGAGCCATAAAGTTGGTGTAACTGGGAAGCTACAGCTCAGCTTCTCCCCATCCCCTCCAAGTTCCTGATGGCTTTGCTGTAGCCAAAGCTGCCCCACGGCAAGCAGCAGGACCCTTGTAAGGAGGGTCCTGGGGTGGGAGAAGCACAAAGAAGGTTATGATCATTGGGTTTTCACAAGTTTTGTTGTTGTTGTTGTTTTATGTGCAAGTAGCAAAGCGTCTGTCAAGATCTGCTCAAAGAGAGGGGCTCTAAAAAATATTATTTTTATATTGTATTTATTAATTTATTTTTATTGATTTATTTGATATTATTTTATATCAATTTATTTCTTTTCATTGTATTTAAATTTTAATTTACAAGAAAGTGCTTTCTGAATAAAACCATGGACTCTTTCAGCTCCTACCACATGCCCACGGTGGCACGGAGTCCTTCTGAAGCTGAGTGTGCTGAGCCACATGGTGCTGCTGGTGCTGCTGGCGGTGCTCAGTGTGCAGGGTGAGCAAAACCCGCTCAAAAACACATCCAAAACCCAAGCGACCACGAGGGATTATTCATTTTATTTCTTTTTCACCAATGGGTGTTCAGGGTTTTATCCTAGTGACCATCTCCATTTGGATGGGGACAATTTTGCCCCACAAGATGCATCCAACAAGAGTAAATCCCCTCTCAAAACAAACAAAGAAACAAAACAAGAAAAAGAAAAAAAAAAAAAACAAAAACAAAACACACACACAAAAAGGCTTTTAAAGCAAGGGTGGAAGACACAAGCAACATTTTTATGCTATTCCAAAAGTTGGGTGCAATCATGACCAGAAAAGGAGCTTGCACAATAGCTCGGGGAACCCAACTCAGCCCTGCTCTGTTTTCATGACGTTGCCCTCAAACAGGCTCAGTCTCACCCCAAAATTTTACCTCGAAGTTTTTCAGAAGGCACCGACACCTCCCAACGCTCTGCAGAACAAGAGCGAGGCCGGGGGAAGGAACAGGACAGAGGTGTGCATGATTCCCTCCCTGCTGCACTACATCTGCCACTGGAACGGCTCTGCAGGTAACCCCTTCCCCGGGGGGGTCCCTGGGGTGGGATGGGTGTCCCCGGGGGGCTGCAAGTCCAGCTTGGTGTCAATGAGCATGGCGAGGAAGAGCTCGTTTTGCTGATCATCTCCATCCTCTGTGGGCCTCTGGGAGGAGGAGGCACCTCTCCACCTTCCCCGTGCTCACCCCACCGTGTGCTCCTTGTGGTGGATGGGTGGGGAAAGCGGGCAGAAAAATTCAGGAGGGGAGAGAGCTCCCTCTTGGTTGGTTTGAGCGAGACCTCGAGCACTTGTTGGGGTGTCTCACGGCTCCGTCTCCTCTCCAGGCCACGGGGGCTGCAAGCTGTGCCCCCAGTCCTGGGAGCTTTTTGGGGGCCAGTGCTACTGGGTTTCTAAGTCGACTGGGACTTGGATGGAAGGCAAAAAAGACTGCGAAAGTCGGGGGTCCCATCTGGCTGTGCTCCGAAACACCACTGATATGGTAAGTGCAGCTTATGGTATGGTGCATGGAACGGCCATGAGCCATGTGGTAGGAAGCTCTGGCCCCACTGCTGGTTCGCAATTCACCAGAGCAGCTCTGAGCATTTGGGTTTCCTGTCCTCTGGACCCCGTTGTGTCCCCTCCACCTGCTGCGTGTCCTTCCGACTCCTCTGTGCCATGGAGGATGAAGATGGCTACATGGCCTTGGACAGGCGATGCAAGCAGGGTGCTGTGGAGGGGCCGGGACTCCTCCAGGATGCAGGTAGTGGTGTCTGATCCACCATCTCCACCACAGGTTTGTGGTGGCGAAAGGATACCCCGGGTGGCGATTGCTTGGCGGGGGGAAGAAGTGGGGTGGTGCAGCTCTTGAAGTCCAAGAGAGTCACTCAAGCTGGGGAAAGTGAGAAGGGGCTTACAGGGTGTCCTGGTTTCAGTTAGCACAGAATTAATTTTCTTCCTAGTAGCTGGTGGAATGCTGTGTTTTGGCTTAGGATGAGAAGAGTGCTGATAACACCCCGATGCTTTAATTGTTGCAGAGCAGTGCTTATACTAAGCCAAGGACATCTCAGCCTTTTGCTCTGTCCTGCCAACGGGCAGGCTGGGGGTGCAGTAAGAGCTGGGAGGGGACAGACCCAGGACAGGTGACCCAAACTAGCCAAAGGGGTATTCCATCCCATCTGACGTCATGCTAAACAACATATAGGGGTGGCTAGCCGGGGGGAGGGGGCCGGACTGCTCGGGGTTAGGCTGGGCATCGGTCAGCGGGTGGTGAGCAATTGCATTGTGCATCACTTGTTTGTACATACTATTATTACTTTCGTATTATCACCATTGTATCATTATTATTATTATTGTTATTATTATTTTTGTTATTATTATTTTCCTGTCTTATTAAACTGTCTTTATCTCAACTCACGGGCTTCACTTTCCATTTCTCTCCCCCGTCCCAGAGAGGGAGGGGGGAGGGTGAGCGAACGGCTGCGTGGTGTTTAGCTGCCGGCCGGGTTAAACCACGACACAGGGGATGCTTGCCTGTGATAATCTCAGTATCATGGAATAAAAATGGTTTTGCACCAGAAGTGGGAACAAGGGAAAGCAGCGGGAATACCACAGAGGTGGTTCCATCACTCCATGAAGGCTGGAGATGGATGAAGTGTGTGAAAAAAGAGAGATAGGAAGCATTTTTGGGACCTCTGCTCTACGGTACCCCCTTGCATGGCAAAGTACTGGGCAGTACACACACATTTAACAGAACCATAACATTGGTCAGTGGTACACCACAGGAGGTAAATTTCTGTAGCAGCACACTTAAGGGGAATTGGAGAAATGGGCAATAAAGGTCCCAGGGGACAGGGGTATGTCCCTGGGACAATGCCTACCGAGAGTCCTTTAGGAAGAATGCTAAGAAATCAGTTGCAGCAAGGTTTGTAGCTCTGGGGGAGCATGGGAGAATGGGGAGAGCATGCAGGGCTGATGTGTGTCCTTTGAAGGCACCTGCACTTGTTTGAGGACCTCCAGATGGATTTAGAGGTGGCTGCATGGTAAAATTCAGAGTCTGTCCTCACCCACCCAAAAACCCTGGCGAGTGCCCATCCCACCAATGCCCCACCAGAGCCAGATCTTGCTTTCCTGCAGCATTACCCCATTTATATTGTTTTTCTTCATCTCTGGGAGGAACTTCTTCAAATAGGAAGTTTTTGTAACCAGGCTATCCAAAATATATGTCTTGCAATTAAGTTATCTGGATGCAGATTTTTACAGGAAAGGAAAGGAAAGGAAAGGAAAGGAAAGGAAAGGAAAGGAAAGGAAAGGAAAGGAAAGGAAAGGAAAGGAAAGGAAAGGAAAGGAAAGGAAAGGAAAGGAAAGGAAAGGAAAGGAAAGGAAAGGAAAGGAAAGGAAAGGAAAGGAAAGGAAAGGAAAGGAAAGGAAAGGAAAGGAAAGGAAAGGAAAGGAAAGGAAATTTATTTTTTTTTTTTTAGTTTTGCAAGCTGTGGTCAGGATGGAGGCAGAGTCTTTGTGCAGCCTTTTTTTTATTAGTGGTGGTGGTGGTGTGGGTTTTTTTTGGCACTGTGAAGGAAGAGAAATGTAAAAGCGGGCCTGCCTCTGCTCACCACCGAAAAACGAAAGAGAAAAAGAGAAACACCACAGAGTACAAAACTTTCCGTGAGATCAGTGAGATCTGAAGGCAGAGTAACAATGAACAACAAAATGGACTTGTGGTGTTTTTTCCCCAGTCCTAGAAAGTGCCAGGTGTTCCATGCAGCAGAGGCTAGGTCACACTGGCATGAGAAAATGAAATTAAACATCAAGATAATGCATATGTAAATTTGCTGCAGAAAATAAGCAAGGGAAAAAAAACCCTCCTTGCCTCTTCTGGTGCAAAAGTTACAGGATAAATTACTTGGCATGGAAGAAAAAGCAACAAATTGCAATCAAAACCATCCCCTTCCAGCTTTTGGGTTACATACAACTGATGCCCAAGTGTATTCCAGGGAAGACACACCAAATACCACATTTCTCCTTCTTCCCCAACTGTCTGCTGGTACGCATTGGCCTGTCCCCCATTAAAAAATATATATATTATTTCAGGGCTTTTATTTTGTCTTTTGTCACCTCTCTGCTCTCCTGGCAGCTCAGCACCACAGTGCTTGCTGTGGTCACTAAAGACAAAAGGTGTTTCTGCACCTCCAGAGGTGCGACCTCCTCCTGCCTCAAGGATGTCTGCCTACCTGCCAGCCTTCAACTGAAAGAGACCACCATCCCTGGAGGTCTTTAAAAGACATTTAGATGTTGAGCTAGTTATATGGTTTAGTGAAGGACTTGTTAGTTTTAGGTCAGAAGTTGGACTCGGTGATCTGGGAGGTCTCTTCCAACCTAGATGATTCTGTGAAAGGACAGTCTGTAGCATATATCTATGTATCTCTATATATAAAACAACAACAACAACAACAACAACAACAAACAAACAAAGAAACAAAACAAAAACAAAAACAAAACAAAACAAAAAAACAACAACAAATAATAAGATTAAAAAAAGCCATTTCCTGGCACTTGACGCAGGCGCAAGAAGGTTGGTCATAACACAAAGGTTGCCCGGGGACTTTGTCACTCCTGGGACGCTTCTGTGGGCGGGCGAGCTGACCATGGCTGGGGAAATTATTTACGCCGATTTAAGGCAGCCCGGAGGGGGCTCTTCACCTGCTGAGAGGTGTCACAGTAAGTGCAATTTTGGGTGGTGGGCGCTCACGGCGAGTTCCAGGAAGAGCTGGTGTTTGGGTCCACTTGCATCTTCGCCAAGAAACATGGCCAAGCGCCGGTTGGGTTGCAGGGTTGATCCCAGTTTTTGCGGACAACGAAAGTAAGGAAGGAAAGGAGGAATGACGGGGGAGAAGGAAGCTTGCAAATGGCCAGAGCTTGAACGATTTCAATGCTGGGGCTGCTCTCCCTGCAGCAAAAATCAGCACCAACTTGAGGCGATGGAAGTCAAAGCTTGGCAAAACGTGCCCAGGATCCTAGTGGAGAGGAGGTGTGGAGGGACCCGGGTCCCACCAGCCTCAATCTGCTCTAAATGAGGCCAATTTCCCAAGAGTTTCAGTCTGTTCCCCTGCTCTTCTGGACCCCCACTGCCTCCTAGAACACTCGGAGGAGACGGCCTCGCTTTGGAGCCCAACCTCGGCAGCAAGCCTCCAACAGGAGAAAATCCCGCCACCAGGACTCCTTCCCCACTGGGACCCACTGGTGCAACTGGGAAGCCGCAGCCCAGCTGCTACCCATCCCCTCCAAGCTCCTGGAGGCTTTGCTCCAGCCAAAGCTGCATGATGGCAAGCAGTGGGACCCATGCAAGGAGGGTCCTAGGGTGGGAGATGCAAAGAGAAGGTTGTGATCGTTGGGTTTTCATTTTTGTGTGTGTGTGTGTGGAGGTAGCAAAGCATCTGTCAACTTCTGCTCAGAGGGGCTCTATTTTATTATTTTATTTTATTTTATTTTATTTTGTTTTTTTTTTGTTTTGTTTTGTTTTATTATTTTATTACATTTTGTTATATTAATTTTATTGATTTATTTCACATTGTTTCATTTGATTTCATTTCATTTCATTGTATTTTAGTTTTATTTTAAAAGAAAGCAATTTCTGAACAAAACCATGGACTCTTTCAGCTCCCGCTGCATGCCCACAGTGGCACGGAGTCCTTCTGAAGCTGAGTGGTCTAAGCCACCTGGTGCTGCTTTTGCTGGTAGTGGTGTTGAGTGTGCAGGGTGAGTAAAACCCGCTTGAAAACACATCTAAAAACCAAGTGAGCACACGGGAAATTGTACTTTTTTTTTTTTTTTTTTTTTTTTTTCACCAAGGGGAGGACAGGGTTTTATCCCAAGAACCATGTAGAAGCCACGGGACGCATCCAACAAGAGTAAATCCCCTCTCAAAACAAACAAAGAAACAAAACAAGAAAAAGAAAAAAAAAAAAAACAAAAACAAAACACACACACAAAAAGGCTTTTAAAGCAAGGGTGGAAGACACAAGCAACATTTTTATGCTATTCCAAAAGTTGGGTGCAATCATGACCAGAAAAGGAGCTTGCACAATAGCTCGGGGAACCCAACTCAGCCCTGCTCTGTTTTCATGACGTTGCCCTCAAACAGGCTCAGTCTCACCCCAAAATTTTACCTCGAAGTTTTTCAGAAGGCACCGACACCTCCCAACGCTCTGCAGAACAAGAGCGAGGCCGGGGGAAGGAACAGGACAGAGGTGTGCATGATTCCCTCCCTGCTGCACTACATCTGCCACTGGAACGGCTCTGCAGGTAACCCCTTCCCCGGGGGGGTCCCTGGGGTGGGATGGGTGTCCCCGGGGGGCTGCAAGTCCAGCTTGGTGTCAATGAGCATGGCGAGGAAGAGCTCGTTTTGCTGATCATCTCCATCCTCTGTGGGCCTCTGGGAGGAGGAGGCACCTCTCCACCTTCCCCGTGCTCACCCCACCGTGTGCTCCTTGTGGTGGATGGGTGGGGAAAGCGGGCAGAAAAATTCAGGAGGGGAGAGAGCTCCTGACCCCAGTGCCTCTTGGCTCGTTTGTGCGAGACCTCGAGCACTTTTTGGGGTGTCTCATGGCTCCGTCTCCTCTCCAGGCCACGGGGGCTGCAAGCTGTGCCCCCAGTCCTGGGAGCTTTTTGGGGGCCAGTGCTACTGGGTTTCTAAGTCGACTGGGACTTGGATGGAAGGCAAAAAAGACTGCGAAAGTCGGGGGTCCCATCTGGCCGTGTTCCGAAACACCACCGAAATGGTAAGTGCAGAGTGGAGAAGGCTTGAAAAGGACCGAAAAGTCCTGGGTTTTGGTGGGTAGAGGGGCAAAAACTGCCCCGGAGCTGCTGGTTGGTGGCAGGAGGCTTGGTAGCTCCAAGCAACCACATGCTAAGAGGTGGGAACGGGGCTGAATCACCACCTAAAGGGCTTTGGAGGTCCCTTCCCACCTTTTGCACGGAAGGAAAGAAGGACACAGAGCTCGGGGGGAGCCTCTGGTGTCTCAGGCTCTGAATTTAAGCTCTTTCCACCCACTGTGAGTGAGGCAGCACCCAAGGCACAGGTGGTGTTTGGGGCCTGTGTCTTTGAAGATGAACCAAACAGGTTCAAAAAGCCAGCTTTGCACCCCAACAAGCCTCTTGCTGAAGGCCCCTGGAAGCCAACACTCCTCTCCCATTCACCAGGAGCACTTAAGTGAGATCACCCGCCAGGTCAAGCTAACAGTGTGGATCGGATTAAAGGCATCCAACAACATATGGAAATGGGTGGACAACTCTTCCTTCAACGCCACCCCGTGAGTACAGCTGCAACCCATGATGTGCAGAGCAGCTTTGCTCCATTTCACCCCTGAGATCTCCAATATTTTGGTGTTCACAACAGTATTGCAATGCCCCAGTAAGGCTTTGCAGCCTGAAAGTTGGCTGTACTGAGCACTGTAACCCACCATCTCATCACACCTATGCAGCCAACGTGGTTTTAATGTCCTGGGCATGCTCCAGTGGAGGAAGGAGCCAGATGGTAGTGCAAGCACAGCAATCTGCACGCGCATCTGGGCAAGCCCACAGCAAGAAGCCATCTGGAGCCCAGTGAGACAGGCTGGGGGAGAAGCTCCCATTGCCCCCTAATCCAAGAGCAAAAGGAGCTGCTTTTAGGTGCTGACAGTTTTGGTTTGCAGGTTCGGTTCCCTTCGGAGTGTGGAGAACGGCTGCGTGACCTTTGTAGAGAAGTCGCTGGAATACGATGGCTGTGGGACCAACCACAAGTGGGTTTGCCAGACAGAACCCTTCCATCTCCTTTCAAAGACTGCAGGAGACAGAGAGCTGTATGGTGCCCACCCCGAAAAGCCCATCCTGCAGGACGCTTGCTGCTAATATTTGGGGTGAAGCCAACCCTCCTTGTTATGGCTCTGCAAGGAATTTCGGGATTTGAACCCAACCAAGCACAGCCAAGAGTATTAGTGTAGGCTCTGTTTCAATTAGCTTCCAATTTTTATATTTTTATTAAAAAATCCATCCAAATATGTCCATACAGACTGTATCTGTTCTTACAGTTTCCTCCTTCCAATAGGAAGTGCAAAGTATGATAGCATAATAGCATAATTCCATAGCACATGAGATTCACAGGTTTCAAATTCATTATTATAAACATCCCGTTTGCAAATGTAAAAAAAAAAAACAAAAACACTATTTTCTGCTGTAGAAGCAGAGAGAGGAACAGGAATGTTGCTGACTTGAGTACAAAAGACTGACAGAGCCTGCACGAATCTGAGCAGAAAGGAAACTCAGCAATACTGTTGTGGCAAAGAAGCAGACCTAAGTAAGTTTTTACCTATTTTTGTGGCACTGTCATGAGCTTTATGTTTATGGGAACTTTTACTCAGGGTAAATCTTTTGCCTCCAGAGGACGTAGTTGTTGGGCTTGCTGCAGATCCAGTATTTCTCCGTGTGGCAGAAGGCTGAGCTGATCTTCTCCTGGTTTAGATACGCACAATTTCCACCTGCCTGTACCTCAAACCTGCAATGCAGACACACTCAGGAGTGAGCAGAAGGGAAGGAATTAGGAAAACTACCCTAAAAACGGGAAGAAAAGCCGGGATTTCCTCTCCTGGGAAGGTCACAAGGGGCAGTGTTCAATGTTTAACAGGGGTTCAGAGCGCAGCATCCTTGGTCCGCACCAAGCCTCCCAGGGAGAACCAGCGGTGCGGTGGCAGGAGAAGGTCCCTGTCCCAAAAGACGCCATCCTAGACCCTATAAGAACTCCTGTCCTAATTGCAAACCCAAAGCACCCAACCCCAGCAGGTGGAGGGACTGACCAACTGTTGAAGGCTGTGCCGTTGGTCCACCTCCGTTGGCCATCACCTTCCTCGTGCAGCCCGAACCAGTGGTTTGCTTGGCCCTTGTAGCGATTGATGAAATCCTTTAGAGAAAAAAAGAAATACAAACAAACAAAAAAGGTTTTAGGTGATTCCGTCTTCACAAAACTCAACTCAGCCAGGTTCTGCCTCCAGCCTGCAGAGCACCCTGCAATAGGAAGGTGATTAGATTCTACAATTCTACAGTTTCACAGAAAAAGGAAGCCCCTTGAGGGCAAAGCTCAGGACAGCACCCATCTAGACATAGGGAGGGAGTTTTGGAGAAAATAACGTGATATTGTTCATCCCCCAACCTGGGCTGGTGCTTTCCCCAGGGCATCTTCTCCTGGCTTTGGCAGTGGGTGAAATCTGGGGGAAAATTGGATTTTGGTCTAGTCCCACACATTTTCCACGCCAGAACCGGCGCTGGGGCTCATGCCCAATTCTCACCAGTTCTTCCTGGCTGTCTATGGAGGTCAGGGAGGCTTCCAAGGCCTTGCACTTCTCCAAGCTGGTGTTCCAGTCACTTCTATTTTCTGAGAAATAGTAGCACTTGCTTAGGAAGCCGATCCATGTGGCTGGGCACATGTGGGACAATTGGGGATGTGATGAGCAAGACTGCAGACGTACAACTGTAAAAGGAGAAAGCTGAGCAGGTGAGATGCATGGATAGCCACAAAAAAAAAAAAAAAAGGCAGAAAAATAACATTTTTCAAATTATATGTATTCCTCTCCAGCAAATGTAGGGATGTGTCAATGTTGAGGGATTTTTTGAAACAGCAAAGATCCCATGGCTTGCTGCAGCTGAGCAAACCAAGCTATCAGGGCAACTATGAGAAGTTCCCATGACAGTGTTCCCACATCGCCCAATTGAGGAATTTAGAAAAATATTGTTACCAGCAGCTGGCTTTAAGGACAAGGTCTACGTGAGTGCTAATCACAAGGGGGTTGTTTTCTTGCAGGTGGGGTTGTTTTCTTGTAGTTGTTTGTCTGAGTGCTTTTGACCAATAATCTTGTGTGAGACACTATCCGCCCCTTTTAAGTTCACTATTAGGCTATTCGGGCAATAAAATGGAGTGTGATCTGACCATACTGGTGTCTGTCGTGCTTTCAGCCGTGCTTCCTGCAACATATGGCGCCTGAACAGGCTGACAGATGGAGAGACGCTGGGAGAACTGCCAGATGCTGAGAAGAACAGAGAGACTTCAGATATGCTGAGAGATGCTGAGAGACCTGAGAGATACTGAGAGACCTGAGGCACACGGAGAGACTACAGACACACGGAGAGAGCCCTGAGAGACACTTCAGAGACACGGACAGCTCTGAGAGACATGGAGAGCCCTGTCAGAAACCGGAACACCTGAAAGACATTGAGAAACTCCAAGCACCGACCCGGAGAAAGGACTCGCGGACAGACGCAGGACAGTGACGTCATCGTGGTTCAATGCGGAGAGATCGCAGCTAGACGTGGGAAACACAGGAATCACGGTGGTACGCTGGACATCCGGGATCTACGGGAGACCAGAGGTGTCAGTGGACAACGGCAGCTGACCCTCACCGTGTGGCGAGTTGGCACAGAGCAGAGGGGCTGAGATCAGGACCCTGCAGCCTGTCTGACGTAACCATGGAGGCAGTGGCGGCTGTGCTGCTTCTTTCTAGCATTCTTTTTAAGAGAGGCATATCTTGCAATGCAAAAAAAGGCTATTCATCCCCAGATAGGTATTATAACTATGCTATTACATAATTTGATAAATGTACAAATGTTCCTGGATAACATTCCATGGGGTTGCCACATTGTACGGATTACTAATGACGACTTAGCTATATTACTACCTTTATTGCAGTGCAAGAGTGCAGAGCTGCAGATTACACTACCAACTGACCACCAGCAGGCTCTTCCACAAACTGCTTCTAAGGTTGCAGCCGGCACTGCTTGCAGATGTATAGCAGACATCGCACTCTCTTTCCTAATTAGCAATCATGTGTCTCATCCATTTCCGGTGATTGGTCAGTGGCAAAACGAAAAGGGGGAGAGTAAGGGGCGACAAAGACAGAAATGTTATCAGGAGAATGCCACTGACACTAACAGCACAGGTAATAGGAGTATTATAAGTGACATGGGTGATGGCAAGGGTGGAATGATAGGGCAGCATTTTCGAGTTCTGGAATGGATTTTCCTACAGATTCAGCCAAAAATGAGTGTTCCATATTCTCCCACAGGCCAAGTGATGGTTGAACGATCACATCAGGTTTTAAAGGAACAATTAGTGAGATTAAAAGAGATCAAGAACATCGATGAGCAATTGTCTGAGGCATTGGTTGTCTTGAATCACTTATGTTTGACTAGGGACCGAGAAGACCCTCCTGCAAGTATTCATTTTCAAACAGTAAATATAGCAACACCAAATGTGTTACCACAAATAAGAATGAATTAGCGAGATCCTGCTACAGGAACTTGGAAAGGGCCATAGGGGTACAGAAATACGAATAACACCTGTGATTACAATGACACTGCTAAGCAGGGTTTAGGGGTTTATGGCATGGAGACAAGAGGTAACAACTACAGTGTTTGGAACAATTGTACAGCTTTGGCCTTACCTCCTGATGTTTTTCTGATTTGCAGGGATAGGACCTGGCAAGGTATCCCTGCAAATGCTATCGGAGGTCCATGTTACATAGATAAACTCATTATATTTGCTCCTAGCTTGTCACAGTTGTGTGAGATCACCAGATATAAATGGGCATTGCTCACACCGGATTGCAATGATAATGTTAATTGCTTGGTGTTGCAGCTAGAGCAGCATTGGCAATTTTAGTGCCAGGAGTGGCATCTGTGGCCGCACTTAACAACTTAGAAAAATTGGTATGCTGGGCTGAGAAGCAAGCCCATGCCACGACAGAGATACTTGAGGAGATGTTACCAGATCAAAATAGTCTGCGACATGCTTTTACAGGACCAAGCTGCTATTGACTTCTTGCTTTTGGCTCAAAGGCATGGGTGTGAGGACTTTGAGGGAATGTGCTGTTTAAACCTTTTTGATCATAATGAGTCAATTCACAAATCCATTACTTTACTGAAAGAGCACAGGAAAAGGAGTCAATATGATATCAATCCTTTCACTCAATGGTTCACTGATTTGTTTGAAACCATGCATAGATGGTTACTGGGATTAGACAAAGAGGGATTAAGTATTCTGTTTGCTGTGGTGTCAATCATCATTGTGTGTTGTATTGTAATAAATATAGTTAAAGATTGTAAAGATTGTATTGTAAAAGATTGTAAAGATTGTATTGTAATAAATGTAGTTACTTGCAAAACTGTTACATCGGGCTTTTGTAAAGATTGTAAAGATTGTATTGTAATAAATGTAGTTACTTGCAAAACTGTTACATCGGGCTTGGTTCACTCAAGGAAAAAAAAAGGGGGGAATTGTTGAGGGATTTTTTGAAACAGCAAAAATCCCATGGCTTGCTGCAGCTGAGAAAACCAAACTACCAGGGCAACTATGAGAAGTTCCCATGACAGTGTTCCCACATTGCTCAATTGAGGAATTTAGAAAAATATTGTTACCAGCAGCTGGCTTTAAGGACAAGGTCTACGTGACTGCTAACCACAAGGGGGTTGTTTTCATGCAGATGGGGTTGTTTTCTTGTAGTTGTTTGAGTGCTTTAGACCAATAATCTGGTTTGAGACACTATCTGCCCCTGTTAAGTTCACTATAAAAGGTAGGCTATTCAGGCAATAAAATGGAGCATGATCTGACCATACTGGTGTCTGCTGTGCTTTCGGCCATGCTTCCTGCAAGACACCAAGAAGGGGCACCCCCTTGGAAAGGCTGAGTAGAGCCTGGTTGAGGGGACAAAAAGGGGTGCCCCATGAAGCAGGCTCAGTGCTATGCTTGGGGGGCTTCTCATCCTGCTGGGAAAACCCTGGAATTCCCCACACCATCCCTGAAACAGGTTCCTGGCCAATCTCCCTGACATGGGGATGCTCCAGTGGGACTCACCAACCAAGGCCACCAGCAGAACGAGGACAAGGACAATCAGCACCACACACAGCGGAGCCAGGAGCTGATGTACACGATGACATTTCCTTCCCATCCCATGGGGGCTGGATTCTGGTGGAGAAGAGAGCAGGAGATGTGGGCTGGGTCTTTCCACCCCCCATTTGCCCTTTTTCTGCTGGATCCATGGTTGATCCTGTAGCCCTCCCTCTTGGGATAGGAACTACCTTCTTTGAGGTCCTCCAGATGGATTTAGAGATGGCTGCATGGTAAAATTCAGAGCCTGTCCTCCTCCCACCTAAAAACCATGGCTGGTGCCCTCAGACCAGTGCCCCACCGAAGCCAGATCTCGCCTTCCCCCAGCATTACCCCATTTATATTGATATTCTTCACCTCTTGGAGGGTTCAGCACTTCTTCTTGCTCGGGGTGAGTATTTTTCCGGACTTCTAGCTCCATGGCCGTCAAGGAAGTATCGGGTTTCATTGATCACATCCACCCGTCTTGTTCTCTGGCAACAACTGCTGCAGCACGATGCAATAGCAAGAAGAGGGTTGAGTGTTGGGGGGCCAGCAAAGCCCCCCGGTTCTGAGGACTTGTGGGGATCTGGAGGGGACATGGGGAAACCGTGGTTGGGGAGAGGGCTTATGGTCTGCTGGAGGGGAATGGAGGAAGGGTGAAAGGATGGGAGAAAGGGAGAAGGAGAAAGAAGAAAAAAAAAAAAAGATTAAGAAAGAGAAGTAAGAAAGGGAAAGAAAAGGAGAAAGTGAAAGAGAAAAGAGACAGAAGTTTAAACTGACTTTAAATAGTAAAAGAAGTTAAAAGAAATGTATTGCCTATCAGCACTCAAAGCTCAAAGGGAGTTGAGATGTGTGACATGACACACCTCCCCAAACTGTCTCCAGCACAGCAAGAAGCTGAATTTGGAAAAAAAAAAAAAAAAAAAAGGAAGGAAATAAGCCAGCATCTGTTTGTGCTGACATTCTTGGTTTGCAGCCATCCTGTAGCTGTTCCCTCTGCAATATTTTCTAAGTATAGAACAGCATGCTGACTGCTGTTCAAACAGAGCAACTCCAAAACTGTTTTTATGCCCCAGTGAATCACTACATTCCTCTGCCCCCCATTCCCCCACTGTCTGCATTTTTCCTGCAGCTCCCCCCAGATTATTAATCCTGTTTATTTTTTTTATTTTTTGCTTCATTTCACCATTATTCTTCTTTTCATTCCCTCCCAAGAAAGAGCACTAAGAAAGTAGCCAGCTGCCTTACCTAGAAGAGAGACTAGGAAAGCCCACCCAAAGAAACAAACAGAAACAAACAGAAAAAAAAAAACAGTAACAACAACAACACATGTAAATGTTTAAAAAGTGGAAAAAAAAAAAAAAAAAAAAAAAAAAAACACCTAGGAGTTCTAAACATCTGCAAGAAGATTTACACAGCACTTGTGGTAGCAGAAGCTTCAATAAAGCCAGCTGAAAAGGAAGAATTTGGGCAACGTGGGTTATTTTTGGCTCTTCTTCCAGAAGCACATGAGTGGCAGGCAAGCTCACTGGGTGTGCAGTTTTGGAATTAAAAAGGGAGAGAACAAGAGGAGAATCAGGAATGAATAAAAATACAAATACAAATACAAATACAAATACAAATACAAATACAAATAAAAACAAAAATAAAAATAAAATAAAAAAAATAAAAATAAAAATAAGTGAGAAAGAGAAAGAGGGTAGAAAAATGGGAGAGGGCAAAGGAACAAAAAAAATCTTAAAAACAAAAAATCTTAAAAACTAAGAAGAAAAGAAGATGGAAACCTGCCCTGGCTGGCTGCTCCTTCCCTCCCCATTTCAGCCCCTAGCTAAGCGTTGCTTGCTCAGCCAGCCCCAAATTCTGCTGCTCACACGTGGACTTACCCTAAGAGCAGTGTGTCTACTCCTGGTGTCTTATGTCTTGCTTGTGCTGCAATTCAATGCATGAGAGGAGGAGCTACTGCTGGTGCAGGAAGTGTTACTTAAGATCGAGGGGAGGGGTACCGCTCATCCTATTTGAACTGCAGAGAAAGGATGCATGCATGCCTGCTGTGTGAAAGGAGTTTTAGAAATGGCTCATCCTTCAAAATAGGATTCAATAAAAAAATAGGATTTGTTAAAAGAATAGAGCAGTTCCACTGCTGTTGCCAAGAGGAACCGATACCTTGTAGTTCGCTGCAACTGAAGTGACAAGCGAGGCAGAGAAGTGAAAATGGTGGGGGACTGAGGGGACGACAATTTAAAAACACCCTGGAGAGATGGGCTCCAACCACCTCCTACAATACATGGGAGTCAGTATCATTGTTTTGGTCAGCTATGGGTCTGCACATCCCCACCAGCCTTTTAAATGGAGCTTGATCAGATGAATGGATCAACTTGTCATCCAGCAAACAACGACAGCGGGTGCTCCCAGTTTCTGCATCATATTATGTGACCTGGTGTCAGTGCAGCCATGCTTTAACCGATCAGGATTTTATTTCTGCCCAAGTTCTAACCCGGGAAAGGGGTACTGTAAATGCCCGAACGTGTATTATTGTGCATACTGGGGGTGTGAAACCATTGCTACAGACTGGACACTTGGGGCTGGTTGGAATAAATTCTTACAAATGGCATATGGGCTGCAAGGTTGTAACCGACAAGTGGATCCCCGTTACAGGTGGCAAGGGCATGGTATAGGGTATACAGGAACCTTCCACGAAAATAAATAAATTTGCAAGGTTCTATATATAAATATAACAAACTCGGACGATACTAGCTGGGTACTAGGAAAAATGTCAGATTTTACGAACACTGAACAGATAGGGGAGGAGTCATACTAATAAAAAAGGAGGATGCTGATAGGCCCCAGGCAGTAGGACCAAATGAGGTATTGTCCAGGGAATCCAGCCTGCGGAAAATACTACAGTGCCAACCCTCGGCAGCCCTACAAGCTCAGGTAAAGCCAAAAATGATAAAATAGCTGAGAATAACATATGGGGGGGTCATGAATGCCAGCTACCAATTATTAAACAAAACAAACCCAAATGTAACAAAACACTGTTGATTATGCTTTAGTATAAGGCCTTCATATTATGATGCTATCGGGGATCCTGGGGAGCCCACCCGCACAAACGAGAACAACCCTCTACATTGCAGTTGGGGAAAAGACATAAGGGTAACACTAACACAAGTCACTGGAGGTGGTAGGTGTGTAAAGTTCCTAGTGGGAAGTGTTACCTATGTAATATCACGGAGAATAGAAAACAATCAGCTGAGTGGTTAATCCCAGCCAACAATGCTAGGTGGGTTTGTTCGTCAGTGGGCATAACTCCTTGTCTATCACTAAAACTCTTTAATACGTCTCCTGATTTTTGTATAACAGGTGATAATTATACCAAGGATTCTATACCACCTTGAGGATTATATGTACACCCAGCACACAATGGCAAGTCATCATCTGGAAAGACGGGAACCATTCACGGCTCTAACTTTGGCCACCCTAATAATCCTGGGAGGAGCTGGAGTGGGGACCAGGGTAGCCTCATTGGTTAAACGAAATCAAGAATTTACTTCCTTATGCATTGCTGTGGACGAGGACCTGACCCAAATCGAACAATCCATCTCGGCCCTGGAAAATCTATCAGGTCGCTTTCAGAGGTAGTCTTACAAAATTGTAGGGGATTAGATTTGGTATTTTTTACAACAGTGCGGGCTGTTTGCAGCCCTGAAAGAGGAATGTTGTGTATATGCTGATCACACTGGAGTAGTGAGAGACACAATGACCAAATTACAGGAAGGGTAAGAAAAACGAAAAAGGGAAAATGAAGCCCACCAGAATTGGTACGAATCCTGGTTTAATTACTCACCTTGGCTTACTACCCTGCTATCAACCATAGCGGGGCCCTTGTTGTTAGTTATGTTAGAAATGGCTCAGTCTTCAAAATAGGATTAAATAAAAAAAATAGGATTTATTAAAAGAACAGAGGTAAGCAAACAGTGCTGGGTGCACCAGGAGTCTCCGCTCCACCAGGACGCACACCAGTTACATCAAGTAGCTGATTTTTATACTCCTAGATTAATACATATTCATTACTACTTCTAAAAAAAATAGGTTATTATAATTAGCTTCCGGGGTCCAGTCCCTCCTACCGGAGCATACGCATCAGTCTCCGGTGGTCCCTCTGAGGGTCTCTAGGGGTCTTTCATGCTGAAGCCTCTCCAAGTTTTTTTCTTGTCCTTCCCCTTTGTACTCCTTGGCACTGTATCAAGTTTATAGAACATCCCCTGCAGGTCTTGTCTCCTAGCCGTCCTTCAGCTTCTTTTTTTTTCTTCTTCTTAATCTCTTGGTCACCTGGCCAGATATCAGAGGCTTGCATAGTATCCCATAACAGTCACTAGTTGTTATCAGTTGTTCTGAAACCCCCAGACATCAAAGACTTCATACAAACACAAATAGCTTTCTTATTGACACGTCACCAGTAATTAAAACATTCTTCACCAGCCATTCACAGGGACAGTCATACCTATAGCAGTGTTAAATTAATCTCAAAGAAGACAAAAAAAAGGCTGTAACTGTTAGAAATAGAAATCTGGAAAAACAAAAGCAAACAGGTTCATAAATTTGAGGAGTATTTTCTGAAGACGTGATAAATTGACTAGAATGAGGGGGAGACTGGGACACACTGCATCTGTGGTTCAAGAACTAAATTGCCAGTGCAGGGCCCAGAGGCAGACAGGACTGTTCTTTACGGACACGAATCATTAAAACATTCCTAACACTTATATTAGCACTGACTTTTGGACAATGACAATGTATATTCAATTGAGTAATCGCAATTGTGAAAAAACCGATTAGAGGAGAAAGGTTTTGGTTTTGAGGGAATACAGCAGCACGCAGGAAAGACTGGCAGAAGGAACATTCAGTGCTGGGGGACATGCTGGGAAATAGTGTTTTCAAAGAAGTTTTAGGATGGAATTTGGCGGGGGGGATAAATAGTGGTAATACAAGTGGGCTGCAGGTACCCCAGACTCCATACGACAAAGCCTGGCTTGGATTCAGATTTGGCTTGCACACTGGGGAGCCTGTTCCAGTGTGGTAGCAGAAGCTTCAATAAAGCCAGCTTAAAAGGAACAATTTGGGCAACATTTTTTGTTTTTTTTTTTGGCTCTACTTTTTTCAGAAAAACCTCAGTGGCTTCAACTTGAACATAGGTTATAAATGTTTTCCTGAAGGCAAAACAGGAAAGAAAGCAACCAAGCAACCGTTTGTTACTTCTCTTGAAGAACATCAGATGGAGGAAATTAAACCACCTGGGTGGAGTAATGCTGCACGTAATGCAGTAACCCTGAAAGCACCAGTACGTTTTTTTGTCTGAGATGGCTTGCAAAGACTTGCATGCAAAGTGGGGGCCCTTGGTAATTTGCCTTTGACTCACTTCTTCCTAGGGCAAAACTGAAGTTTTTGAGGATGTCTGAGGTCTGATGGGCTGCTCAAAATAACCTTTTGTCCCCTCAAAATAGGATTATCTTTTTGTTTTGTTTGTTTGTTTTTCTTGTGGGTGAAGAGGGCAAAGGGGAGAAGGGGCAAGGAGGACTCCCAGGAGATCAAGACGATTTTTCCCCCTTGGGATGGGCAAGCACAAAGCTGGGGGCTCAGAAAGGGGAGCCTGTTTCCAACTGTTATGGGTTTACGTGGCAGGGTTTCGGTAGCAGGACTCCACATCCCAAAGGACATCGAGCCCCATACGATGCAGAAGAGTCTGCACATTTGGGGAGCCTGAAGGACCCTGCCAGGATCACAAGGGATGGATCCGCTGGGGAAAAGTGTGCTGGGGGAGGGAGGATAAAACCATTTGGGCAGCAAAGAGTTAAATGGGCATGATTTCCACAGCACTGAGCAAGATGACTGTTATAAATGAAGTCTCAACTCAATCTGAATTGTGTAATATTTATAAAACAAATATTTCTAAAAGTTATAAAAGGCAAGTAAACAGAGCTGGGTGTGCGGGGAGTCTACTCTCCACCAACACGCACACACGAACATCAAACATTCTAAATATACAGAACATTGCTTTACATACTAAACCCGAGCATGCCTATACATATGTACAATTAGAAAACGTAACAAACAATCTAAGTTCCATGACTTAACAGTTTCCATTTTCCATTCCTTTTCTTGATTACTACAAGTCTCCATTTTCCATTCCTTTTGAACAATATGTCTCAATATGAACAATATGTCCCAAATCTCCCCCTTCTTCATTAATATCAACCATTTTCTCGACACGAATTACCATTCTATAAATAGCAACGGGGTCCGGAGGACAGGAAACCAAAATGCTGAGAGCTGCACCAGTGAAGTGCTAACCAGTGGCAGGGCTGGAGCTTCCTGTCACAGCTCACAGCCGTTCAATGCCCCTGTTATATACGGAGTTGTTATATATGGAGTGGTAATTCGTGTTGAGAAAAAGGTTGATATTAATAAAGAAGGGGGAGATTTGGGAGTGTGGCCATGGGGGTTGGAAAACCCCGTGATTGAGATAACATTAGACTCTTAACGATGAGGCCATCAGGAATATAAAAGAGTTTAGAGGGAACCAAGAAGGGTGATTTAGGAGACTCCATGCAGTCTCAGGGTTTCTTTTTCTCCAGCTGTTAAGGCATTGAAGTTTCTGGGTGTTTGCTGTTTTTGTTACATTCAAAGTTGTTTGACCAATGAAAAGTTGTTTTGAAAAGAACTGCTGTGAAGAGAAGGGTGCCTCAAGAGAACTTTTGCCTCAAGAAGAGGGAAGTTGAAGCCACATTTCTGCATCCGCCTCCCCCCCCTCCTTTGCATCATTTCATCAGCCCAGCTCAGAAAAAAATGCTGCATCCGGAGCTTTTGTCATTATTCCTCCTCTCCTCTGCCCCTGTGCCAGGGGTGTGTGTGTGTGTGTTAAAAATCTTCCCATGAACCGGGTTTCTTCAACAAAAGTATCACAGATTTGCTCCTCTTCCTCTTTTGACAGCAGGATAACATCATTAAGAGAACAAGCAGCGAGCAATGAGCGTATGAGTTATTTGAGTTATTTTATTTATTTATTTATTTGCATACATGTGGTGAGGGTTTTTATTTCTGCAGTCGTGGCAGGGATTGTTTAAAGGCAGCAGCTGACACACGGGACTATACGATCCATGCTGCTGTGTAGCATGACAATGTTGTGACCTCAAGCTGTTGGCAGAGCTGGCCTTATATTTGCAGCAAGCCCCAGGCTGTGGGGGCAGCTCCTGAGAAAGGTGGTGGAGAAAGGACCTTCCCCGTGCTGGACACTGGCAGCTCCTCCCTCCAACTGAATTATATGTTTAATAAGAATTTTGTCGTAATAACTATTTTTTCTTTAATTACATTATCCTTATCTCAGCCTTGGAGTTGTTTCTTTCCTTTTCTTCTTCCCCTCCTCTTCTGAGATAGTTGTGGTGGAGTTCAGCTCCCTTGCAAGGTAAAACCAACACAAAGGGTTTGTGTCCCTGGTTTTGAGGTCAGAAAGAAAGTTTGTTGACTAAAGGGAGAACCATGAGCTGCAAGAGGTGCTGGCTAACGTCAGAGCTTAACATTACCCAAACCTTATGGACCAGACCTGGGGCTGCTCTTCTCCACAGCAGCTGGAAGAGCATAGCCAACACCACACTGTGTGTGTCTGAGCCGTGTCTGCACTGTACGAAAGCTTTCTCCTTTCCTCCGTGTCCCCCAGAGGAGCACAGCTGGGACAATTGACCCAAACCACCAGAAACCATGCTCCTTATACCCTCAAGTTCAGGAGCTGGGGAGCCTGTTCCAGTGCGCAACAACCAAGTTAGGTGTGTGTGTCGATCTGCTCGAGGGTAGGAAAGCTCTGCAGGAGGATCTGGATAGGCTGCACCGATGGGCTGAGGCCAACTGCATGAAGTTCAACAAGGCCAAGTGCCGGGTCCTGCACCTGGGGCGCAATAACCCCAAGCAGAGCTACAGGCTGGGGGATGAGTGGTTGGAGAGCTGCCTGGCAGAGAAGGACCTGGGAGTGATGGTTGATAGCCGGCTGAATATGAGCCAGCAGTGTGCTCAGGTGGCCAAGAAGGCCAACAGCATCCTGGCTTGTATCAGAAACAGTGTGACCAGCAGGGCTAGGGAGGTGATCGTCCCCCTGTACTCGACTCTGGTGAGGCCGCACCTCGAGTACTGTGTTCAGTTTTGGGCCCCTCGCTACAAGAAGGACATGGAGGTGCTCGAAAGAGTCCAGAGAAGGGCGACGAAGCTGGTGAGGGGTCTGGAGAACAAGTCCTACGAGGAGCGGCTGAGGGAGCTGGGATTGTTCAGCCTGGAGAAAAGGAGGCTCAGTGGTGACCTTATTGCACTTTATAAGTACATTAAAGGAAGTTGTGGTGAGGTGGGGTTTGGTCTATTCTCCCACGTGCCTGGTGACAGGATGAGGGGGAATGGGCTAAAGTTGCACCAGGGGAGATTTAGGTTGGGTATTAGGAAGAATTTCTTTACTGAGAGGGTTGTTAGGCATTGGAATGGGCTGCCCAGGGAAGTGGTGGAGTCACCATCCCTGGAGGTATTTAAAAGACGTTTAGGTGTTGAACTTAGCAATATGGTTTAGTGGAGGACTTGTTAGTGTTAGGTCAGAGGTTGGACTCAATGATCTTGAGGTCTCTTCCGACCTAGACAACTCTGTGATTCTGTGATTCTTTGAACCTCTCCAAAAAAGGACGGTCTTTAATACAATGAGTTCCGAGAAATCATTGCCATCCGCTCTGCCTTCACCTCCTCCTGGCTGTGCACGCACAGTGCCTCCTCGTGGTCGTGGGATGGGTCCTCAGGGCAAAGGCCGTAAGTCTTCCTCGCTATGGACTTTTCCCCTCAGCCACAAAACTCATCTAAACCAGTTCTTGCTCAACAGAGGATGAGCTATCTTCCCATTTTATTGCTTTTCATGACTTGCTGGCCAGTGTTTACAATGGTTATAGATATCCCTTGTCTTCCAGGATTATCCCATCTCAGTCCTTTCCTTGTGGTTAGTTTCCGATGTCCATCTGTGGTAGCTAAAACTTGCAAAATCACCATGGGGTGACTTCTCTAGACCTGCTATAGTTCTACAGTTAGCCCTTTAGCATCTATTCCTTCCTTCAGGGCCATATCCCCCATTTCCATACATGGCTCATGCAGCATGTATTATTGAAGACAACAAGGAGAAGGTTCATTAATGCACATCGGATGCTCGGCCCTTGCCTGGAGCCGAGTCACGGAGTGAGAGAAGAATGAGAAAAAAAAAAAATAAAATAAATAAAACACAGCACAACACCCGAGGACCATGAGTCACGGTTTTGCAGGAAGACAAAGCAGCCACTTTCTCACATTTCCCCTGAGCGTCCGTTGCAGAACTTGAAAGGTTGAGGAGTGTGGTTTCTGGTGGTTTGGTCGAATTTCCTAGATGTGCTCCTCTGGTGGATGCGGTGGTGTAATGGCTTAACCCGACTGACAGCTAAGCACCACTCAGCCAGTTCTCCCCCCACCCTGCCCTTTGGCACTGGGGAGAGAATAAAAATAAATAAATAATAAATTAAAACGAAAGCTTTTGGACTGAGATAGAGACCGTTTCTTAAGACAAAAAATAAATGAATTTTTTAATAATAAATGGTGTGGAATACCCTTTTGGACAGTTTGGGTCAGCTGTCCTGGGTCTGTCCCAGCTCCTGCTGCACCTCCAGCCTGCCCAGTTGCAGGACAGAGCGAGAAGCTGAGAAGTCCTTGGCTTGGTGTAAGCTCTGCGACAATTAAGTCATCAGCGTGATATCAACATTCTTCCCATCCTAAATCCCAAACACAGCACCATACCAGCTATAAAATGAGCACCGGGCGAGCGGTTTAGACTGAGCGAGTGAGCTTGGGGCTCTGCTAAGCGGGCTGTAGGGTTCTCGTGGGGATGTTGCCACCTGCTGTTTCCATCAGGCAGCACCACTTGCTTACGAGGCATCCCTTGCTTACAAACCACCCCAAAAGCTTTTTCTATTCACCTTTTTAACCAGACTATGGATATACATATATTTATTTACATATATTGATTCAAAGATCGAAGCCGAAATTTCTAAGTGACGAAGTGTTCTTTATTGTCAGTGCTGGATGCACAGGGGATCCTTCCACCCAACGTGTATGTTCGACGTAACAAACTATCTCATATTTATACAGAAAAACAACGAATATTCAATCAATGCCTATACATATTCATTACCTAAACCCGCCCACTCTCGCTTCATATGCTAATTAGCTTATCAGTCCTTGTGCAAAGCCTCCCAAGAATTGTAGGCAGGGGTCTTCAGGACGTGGGCAGTGGTCTTTGAGAGGAAGACCGTGTAGGGAACCATGGATGTAGATCATGGAAAGCTGGTGGGATGATTCCCATGACTGGAGCGTGGCTGTTGATGGCTACGAACTGTTCAGAAGGGAGGAAATAATTCCTGTATTAGGAATTGGATAGATTGTGAAGAGCTCTTCCTGAGAAACAGCCGTGACCAGGTGGAGAGCTCGTGGGTGAAAATCAAGGATTGGTCCGGTAAAGGACCGGTGGTTGGGATCTGCTACAGCCCACCTGATGTGTATGTTGGTGAGGTCTTCTTGCTTCAGCTACAACTGTTGTGATCACAAGCTCTTGTCCTGAGGAGGATTTGAACCACCCAGATATCTGCTGGGATAGCAGCATGGTGAGATCCAGATAATCCAGGAGACTCCTGGAGTCTGTTGAGGATAACGTCCTGGTCCAGGTAATAGAAGGACCGACACGAGGTGTAACCTTACTAGACTTGGTGCTCACCAGTGTGGAAGAGAGCTTTACGGAGGTTACGATTGCCTGGTGACGACCACTACCTGGTGGAGTTGGTGACCCTGAGGAATACGGGTCTGACAAAAAGCAGAGTCAGGACCCTGAGCTTCCAAAAAGAGGACCCTGAACTTCAGGAGAACAAACTTCTGTCTGCTCAAGGAATTACTGGCTGGGATCCCCCAGGAAACTGTCCCTAAGGCCATAGGAATGGAACACGTGCACGTATATACGTGTATAAATATATATTTCACAGACTAACAAAAAGTTAGTAATTGGAAGAGACCTTGAAAAATCATTTTGTCCATATAAAAATAATAATAATAACAATAATAATAAAATGGGGGACAACAAAGTGCAATGTGGTCGATGCTCTTCAGATGATGTGGAGAACAGCATCCCCAGGTCTGGTCCGTAAGGTTTGGGTCTTGTTCAGCTCTGATGTTAGTCAGCACCTCTTCCATCTGAGGTTCCATCCTTAGTCACCAAGCTTCAGTTTTGACCTCAAAACCACAGACGCAAACACTTTAAAAGATTTCTGAAGAGCATCATCCTTCATCAATGAGAGGAGCCTCCAGTGCCCAGCACGGGGAAGGTCCTTTCTCCGCAGCCATTCTCAGGAGCTGCCCCCACAGCCTGGGGCTTGCTGCAGATATAAGGCCGGCTCTGCCAACAGCTTGAGGTCGCCATGTCCTCGCCATTCAAGTAGACGCACCCTGCGCTGCCCTGCACCGGGAACCTGCAACGACAAGGAATGCCACTGCAGCCTTCTGCACTTCCCATGCCCTCCAGCAGCAGTGCACGGCCACGGCACACCGGGGCCATCAGGCTCTGCCCGCTCGCAGGACTCACGTCAAATTGAAGCTGCTGCCGTCCACCCACAGCAGGAGTTCACCCCGTCTCCGCAGCCCAAGCCAGGAATCCCCGTTGTCTTTGAATTGTCTCAGAAATTGCTGGGTGGCAAGGAGAGAGGCAGACAGTCAGAAGCTGCTGGAGCACCGCGCTCCATCAGCCCCACGGGACTCGCTGCCCCGCTGTGGGACATCCCGCCCGGCTGTCCCAGCCCCACAGCCACCCATCACCCCGCACTCACCAATTCCTGGTCCTTATTCACCACGACCAGGGAGGCCCCGTGTCTCGAGCACTGCTCCTGGCTCCAGCTCCAGTTGCCTTGCTCCTGCTGCCCCGACAGGTAGTAGCAGACGTTGCAGTACCCAACCCATTCGGAAGGGCACGCCGGCTCCGGGGCTGTCTCCTCCCCTGGTCTGGTTACTGCAGAGCAAAGAGGACATTAAACGAGGTTATAGCAAGAGGGGGATCGGGCTCTTCTCCCTCCCCAGTGGTAAGACAAGGGGAGAGTCTCCCAAGCTACACCAGGGGAGGTTGAGGTTGTATATTAGGAGGAATTTCTTTACCAAAGGGGTTGTGGCATTGGAACGGGCTGCCCAGGGAAGTGGTTGAGTCACCATCCCTGGAGGTCTTCAAGACACGGGTAGGTGTAGAACTCAGGAGCATGGTTTAGTGGTGGACTCGTTAAAGGTTGGGCTGGATGATCTCAGAGGGCTTTGCATAGCATGGCTCGGGTTGGGAGGGACCTTACAGATCACCCAGTTGCAACCCTGGCTAGTTCTATAACCCGGCTGCAGGGGGCACGGACAGCTCTGTGTAGAGGGGTGGGATGGTGGTGGCCACTCTGCCCTTACCTATCAGCACAACAATGATAGAAATCAGCATCAAGTTCAGGATTATCAGCATATTCCGCTGTCGCTTGGTTGTGCAAACCCTGCCTGCAGCAGAAGGAAAAGATATTTGTGGTGAGGACGGTGCTGGCCCACAAGCAGCACTGCCCTCACATCGCCAGCACGACCAGAAGGCCATGCCAGGGGGATCACGGACACCCCTCGACCCCGTTTCCCTCCTCCTTGGCACGGGGTTCACCCCCACAAATGCTGCAGCAGCAGGAGGACAGCTCAAAACCCAGCTGGGCACTGGCCCTGCACTCACCCAGGCATCTTTGGGACCTGTTTCTGCCCGTGGGTGCAGCATCTGTGGGCATCTCAACAGAGCAGGTCACCGCTGTGTCCTGGGAGTCCTGGGGCTGGTCGGGGTCCTCATATTGGGAGGTGAGGCCATTCTGCTCATCTTGCACCGTAGTGTTCACCGATCCAGGAGTGCTTAGCACGTCAGAAGGCATTGGTGCTGCTAAAAAAAAAAACATAGAAGGCAAGGCTCGGATGCGGTTCCCCTCCCCTGCAAGCCCAGCCAGCGGGGTGATGAGGTGGAAAAGCGAGGCTGAAGGAGAGATCCCTGGTCGGCAGCAGATTCACGCAGCCGTTGCGGTTGAGGTTGAGTGACAGAACAAGTTGAAACGGAACAATTTGGGCAACATGGAGGGTTTTATGGCTGTCTTCAACCACATGCTGCGGCATGTGAGCTCACCTGATGCAGTTTTGGCATTGAAAGTGAAGGCAGAGAAGAAGAGGGGAGCAGAAAAAAAAAAGGGGGAACAAAAAAAAAAACAAAAAAAAAACAAGAGGGAACAAAAAAAAACAACAAAAACCAACAGCAACAAAAAAGAGGCAAAAAAAAAAAAAAAAAACAACAACAACAACAATAATGAAAACACAAAGGCGAGAAAGAGACAAAGAATTGAAAGAGGGTGGAAAAATGGGAGAGGGGGATTCTCTCTGATTCGTCCCATCTCTGGGACGGGGAAGAGAATCAGAAAAAAAAAATAAATTAAGCCTGTGGGTTGAGATAGAGACTGTTTATTAGGGCAGCAAAGAAAGGAAAATAAAAATAATAATGGGAATAGCACTACTACTACTAATGTGAACAAAACAAGCAATCCTCTCAGCGTTCAGGTTCTGAGCAGGGCAGGCGATGAACTCATGCAGTGCGTATTCCCTCGAGCTAAGCTCAGGACCGTGAGAACAAAAATGTTTTTTTTGCACCAGAATTAGCAACATGGGAAGCAGAGGAAATGCCAGGGAGGTGGGCGGCGTCACAGCTCCGTGAGGGCTGGAAATGGATGCAGAAAAAGAGAAAAGAAGCATTTTGGGGACCTCTGCTGTACGGTTCCCCGTAGCTCCGGGGGCACAGGAGGATGGGGAGAGCACGCAGGGCTGACGTGTGTCCTCTGAAGGCATTTGTTCTGGGAACTCCAGATGGATTTAGAGGTGGCTGGATGGAAAAATTCAGAGCCTGTCCTCACCCCCCAAAAAAATCCTGACTGGTGCCCATCCCACGAGCAAGATCTGACTTTCCTCCAGCATTACCGCATTTATGTAGATTTTCCTCATCTCTGGGAGGGTTCAGTTCTTCTTTTTCGTCAGGGTGAGTGTTTTTGTAGTCTCCTTTCCCCATGGCTAGCAAGAAAATGTCAGGTCCCGCTGATCACGTGTACCTGTCCTGTCCCGACGCTGCGACTGCCGGAGCACCCTGCGATAGCAAGGAGAGGGTTGAGCGTTGGGGGGCCAGCAAAGCCCCCCGGGTGTGAGGAGTTTTGGAGATCTGGGGGGAAACGTAGGGAAAAAGTGGGTGGGAAAAGGGTTTGCGGTTTGCAGGAGGGTGAAGGAAGGAAAAGGGGACAGGAAGATGCACGGGGCAGAGGCACCGGAGTGGGGGAGAAAGGAGCCGGGGCAGGCTGAGGAGCTGCAAGAAAATTCACCCAGCACCGCAGCAGCAGCAACTTTCATAAAGAAAAGGAAGAGTTTTGGGAATCGTGAGGTTTTCGAGGCTCTCCTCGGCGAGCCACAGCGCTGCGTGCGCCCTTCGGGTGCAAAGTTCATTGAAAGAAGGGAGTGAGCGAGAGGAGAACGAGAAAAAAATAAAATAAATAAATAAAACACAGCACAAATGCAAAAAGAAAGGCGAGGGAGTGACGAAGAGGGTGGGAAAAGGGGCAAAGGAGCACATAACGAAGTAAATAAATAAACTTTAAAGCAATGAAAGAAAAAAAGTTGGGAAGCCCGCCCTGGCTGGCTGCTCCTTTCCTTCCCGTTTCAGCCCCGAGCCAAGCGGTGATTGCTCAGCTGGCCCCGAATTTCGCTGCTCGGAGGCAAACTTACCTTCTGAGTGTCTTCTCCGGTGTGGATTGTTGCAATAATGTGCGGAGATTAAATGAATCACAAAGGACAGCCCCCCCGTTACGTAAGCGGTTGCTTTTGCCCAATGCCACGGCTGCGCCTCCACATATAGGAAATGTAAATAGTTAAATAAAAAAAAGCAACTCAGATGACTCAAAAGCTAACTCCTTGCTGCTTGGAGTTGCCCTCATGATGTTATCCCGGCTGCCAAAAGGGGAAGGGGAGCAAATCTCTGATGTTTTTGATGAAGAAACCCCGTTCATTTGAAACATCCTGTCCCCGGTGCAGAAGCAGAGAGGGGGAGAAATAATGGCAAAAACCTCCAGATGCTGCATTTTTTTTTTTTTTTAATGCTCTGACAAAATGTCCCTGCAAAGGGGTGGATGAATGTTGCTTCAACTTCGCTCTTCTGAGGGCAAAACGGTGATTTTGATTTTTTTTTGAGGTCTGGTTAGCCCGACCACATATTTTTAGGGCGCATATCCCTTCGGGTGCGTATCCTTTGGGGTGCATATCCAAATAGCCTTTTTTTTTTTCCCCTCAGAACAGAATTATCTTTTTTCTTATTTATTTATTTATTTATTTATTTATTCCTTCAGGGTGGAGAGGGCAAGGGGGGCAGACAGAGCGACGACAACTCCTAGATGACCACGACGGTTTTTCACGGTGTGAAAAAACAATCTGTAGCCTTGCTACAGTGACAGGAGGACAGGAAAAAACAAAGAACAGTGCTTCATTTTTATTATTATTATTATTTTATCTAGCCAGTGTTTACAATGGTTATAGATATCCCTTGTCTTCCAGGATTATCCCGTCTCAGTCCTTTCCTTGTGTTTACTTTCCGATGTCCATCTGTGGTAGCTAAAACTTGCAAAATCACCATGGGGTGACTTCTCTAGACCTGCTATAGTTCTACAGTTAGCCCTTTAGCATCTATTCCTTCCTTCAGGGCCATATCCCCCATTTCCATACGTGGCTCATGCAGCATGTATTATTGAAGACAACAAGGAGAAGGTTCATTAATGCACATCGGATGCTCGGCCCTAGCCTGGAGCCGAGTCACGGAGCAAGAGAAGTACGAGAAATAGATAAATAAATAAATAAATAAATAAATAAATAAAACACAGCACAACACCCGAGGACCATGAGTCACGGTTTTGCAGGAAGACAAAGCAGCCACTTTCTCACATTTCCCCTGAGCGTCCGTTGCAGAACTTGAAAGGTTGAGGAGTGTGGTTTCTGGTGGTTTGGGTCGATTTTTTTAGCTGTGCTCCTCTGGTGGATGCGGTGGTGTAATGGCTTAACCCGACTGACAGCTAAGCACCACTCAGCCAGTTCTCTCCCCACATCCCCTCCCTGCCCTTTGGCACTGGGGAGAGAATCAACAAAAAAAAAAAAAAATTAAAATGAAAGCTTTTGGACTGAGATAGAGACCGTTTCTTAAGACAGAAAATAAATGATTTTTTTAATAATAAATGGTGTGGAATACCCCTTTGGACAGTTTGGGTCAGCTGTCCTGGGTCTGTCCCAGCTCCTGCTGCACCCCCAGCCTGCCCCGTTGCAGGACAGAGTGAGAAGCTGAAAAGTCCTTGGCTTGGTGTAAGCTCTGCGACAATTAAGACATCAGCGTGATATCAACATTCTTCTCATCCTAAATCCCAAACACAGCACCATACCAGCTATAAAATGAGCACCGGGCGATCAGTTTGGACTGAGCGAGTGAGCTTGGGGCTCTGCTAAGCGGGCTGTAGGGTTCTCGTGGGGATGTTGCCACATGCTGTTTCCATCAGGCAGCACCATTTACAGCACCAATTTATTGAAAGAGAGAGGGAGGGGCAGCAGCACCCTGCCTATGATCCTGCATGATATCAGTCGTTGGAATGCCCTCAGGGGCAAGTCCTTACTTCCTTATGTTATTTGTTTTCCAGCAGCAGTGCCAATGAATGTGGCACAAGTTTGCAGAGATTTGGCCCTTTGCCCCTAGGGTGTAGTACAGCCTCTGTAGTGCTGGAACTGATACTGATTACAGTTTTATGGAGTTACACGTTTTTTTTTTGTTTTTTTTTTTTGTTTGTTTGTTTTTTGTTTTTTTTTTTTTGTTTTTTTTTTTTTGTTTTTTTTTTTTGTAATGATAAAAATAAAACACATTGCAAGCTAATTGCACCAATCTGTACACTAATATACTCATCTGTGCTTGGTCAGGTTCAAACCTTGAAATTACTCACAGGGCCATAATAAGGAGGGTTGCTGTCACCCCAAATATTAGCAGTAAGCGTCCTGCAGGCTGGGCTTTTCGGGGTGGGCACCATACAGCTCTCTGTCTCCTGCAGTCTTTGAAAGGGAATGGAAAGATTCTTTATGGCAGACCCACTGGTATTCACCTTCACAGATATTTTTGCTCCAGCTTCTTGTCTTTGAAAGTCCCACAGCCTTTCTCCACACTTGGAAGGGAACTGAACCTGCAAACCATAACTGTCAGCATCTGAAACCAGCTCCTTTTCCTCTTGGAGAGGTGGCAACAGCAGCTCCTTTCTGCAGCCTGTCTCACGGGGCTCCAGGTGGCTTCTTGCTGCTGGCTTATCTCTGGGGCTGAAATGGAATAAATAGAGTCAGGGGCAGAAACGGAGCAAAGCTGCTTCTTATGCAGCTGCACTCACACTGTGGTGCTGAAGGAGGAGTTGTCCACCCATTTCCACGTCTTGTTGGATGCCTTTAATTCAATCCACACTAATGGCCTGCTCTTGTCCATAATCTCATCTACGTGCTCCTGGGAGATGGGAGAGGAGTGCTAGCTTCCAAGGGCCTTCAGCAAGAGGCTCGTTGGGATGCATAGCTGGCTTTTTGAACCCATTTGGTTCATGCTCAAAAAGAGGGGCCCTAAACACCACCCATGCCTTGGGTGCCACCTTAATGCCTGCTCTGAAGGCAGCTCAGTGGGTGAAAAGAGCTTAAATTTAGCACCTGAGACACCAGAGGCACTCCCTGAGCTCTGTGTCCCTCCTTCCTCCCATGCCAAAGGTGGGAAGGGGCCTCCAAAGACCTTTAGGTGACAACTCAGCCCCGTTCCCACCTCTTAGCAGGAGGAAGGTTGGAGCTAGACTAAACAACCCCAACTCCCTCACAGGACTTGTGCTCCAGGCCCTTCCCCATCTTTGTAGCCCTTCTCTGGACACGCCCCAGGCCTCCATGTCCTTCTTGTAGTGAGGGACCCAAAACTGAATACAACACTTGAGGTGTGGTCTCACCAGGGGACAATCACCTCCCTGGCCCTGCTGGCTGCACCATTCCTGGTACAGGCCAGGATGCCTTTGGCCTTCTTGGCAAACTGGGCACACTGCTTGTCCAGGAGAATGCTGTGGAAGACTGTGTCAAAGGCCTTGCTGAAGCCTAGGCAGACCACGCCAACGGCCTTTCCCTCATCCACCATGTGGGTCACCTGGTCATAGCAGGGGATGAGGTTGGTCAGGCATGGTTGCCTTTCATGAACCCATGCTGACTGGGCCTGATCCCCCGGTTGTCCTGCATGTACTGTGTGATTGCATTCAAGATGACCTGTTCCATCACCTCTCTTGGCACCAAGGCCAGGCTGACAGGCCTGTAGCTCCCCGATCCTCCTTATTACCCTTCTTGTAGATGGGCATCACATCAGCAACTCTCCAGTCATCTGGGACCTCTCTGGATGACCATGACCATTGACAGACAACAGAAACTGGCCCAGCAATCACATCCTTCCACCAGATCCCTCAGCACCCTCAGGTGGATCCCATTTGGCTCCATAGACTTGGGACAGTCCAGGTGGAGCAGCAGGTCTTTAACTGCTTCCACCTGAAATGTGGGGGCTTTCTTCTGCTCCCTGTCTCATCCTTCCAGGTCAGGAGGCCCTCTTCTTACCATTAATAGGGTTGTAAAAACATTTTATGTTATCCTTAACCATAGTGGCCAGGTTGAGCTCATGCTGGGCTCTGGCCTACTTGATTTTTTCTCTGCATATGCTGGCAAACTTCCTTGTACGCTGCCCTTGTTGCCTGCCCCTTCTTCCAGCACACATAAACTCTCTTTTTCTCCCGGACAGTCAGCAAAAGCTCCCTGTTCAGCCACTCCAGTCTTCTTCCCCACCAGCCCATCTTACTGCACAGGGGGACAGCCTGCTCCTGAGCTTTTAACATGGGGATGGGGACAAGTCTGAGTGAGAAGTTTTGGCACCAACAGCAATAATGAAGAGGGAAGAGCTTCTCCCCATGGCACAAACCTAAGAAAACAAAAAGTGGTCAGAGAGCCCAGGGATGTTGTGGTGCCTCCCAGCCCCTCTGCTGCAGGAAGAGAGCTACCTCAATCCCTTACTGGGATGCTCGTGGAGCTGCATGAAGGAGAGCCACACCATTTTCAGCCAGGGCCAACCTATCACTTCCAGCATCTTCCAGAATAGGTCTGCCAGGGCTGCCTTCCCAACTCTGCCTGTGCTTTCAGCTCTGCCCATGCGATGAGGCTGCCCCTGGGCAGTGGCTGAGCCCACAAGACTTCACTTCATCAGTTAGGTGGGTGACTTTCTCCTGAAATGAAATTAAGTTTGTTGAACAGGACTGTCCCCTCACAAACCCATGTGTCCTGTGACCAGTGACTGCATTGTCCCTCAGGTGTTTCTCACTCACTCCCAGAGCAATCTCCATAACTTTACCAGGCACTGCCATGAGACTGACAGGCCTGTAATTCCCAGGGTCTTCTTTGCTGCCCTTCTTGGAAAGTGGGGCAATGTTTGGTAGCTTTGGTGTGTGGTCCCCTGCAGGAGGCAAATTTCTGTAGCAGCACACTAACGGGGAATAGTAGAAATGGGAAAGAGGACAGGAGATGTCCCTGGGACAGTGCCTACCAACAGTCTTTTAGGAAGAATGCTAAAAATAGGTTTTGGCAAGGTTTGTAGCTCTGGGGGCTTGGGAAGATGGAAAGAGCACACAGGGCTGATACGCTGTGTGCTCTTGTGATGCTTTGAAGGCACCTGCACTTGTCTGGGGACCTGCAGCTGCATTTAGCTGTGGCTGCATGGTAAAATCCAGAGCATGTCCTCACCCACCCAAAAACCCTGGCCGGTGCCCATCCCACCAGTGCCCCCTAGAAGGAGATCTCACTTTCCGCCAGCATTACCCCATTTGAATTGTTTTTCCTCACCTCTTGGAGGGTTCAGCACTTCTTCTTGCTCTGGGTGATTTTTCTCTTGAGCTCCTTTCCCCATGGCAGGCAAGGAAGTATCAGGTCCCACTGATCACGTCCACCCGTCCTGTCCTGTGGCCTCAACTGCTGGAGCACGCTGCAATAGCAAGGAGAGGGTTGAGTGTTGGGGGGCCAGCAAAACCCTCCTGGGTGTGAGGATTTGTGGGGACCTGGGAGGCTGTGGGGAAACCGTGGGTGGGGAAAGCCCTTGTGGTCTACTGGAGGGGCACTGGAGGAGGACAGACTGGTGGGAGGTGGGCAGGTGGACAGGCGGATGGGTGGGCAGGAGGGGATGAGGAAAGGGAGGAAGGAAGGGAGAAAGGAAAAAATGAGAAAGGAAGAAAGATCAAGAAGAAAAAAAGAGAGAGAGAGAGAGAAAGAAAAAGAAAAGAAAGAAAAGGGGAAAAAAAATTAGTCTGATGATAAACACCACAAGAAATTATAAGAAAATTACTGCCTATCACCACTCAAAGTTCAAAGGATGTGTCTGTGCCATGACCTGCCCTCTAAACAGCTTCAGCCCTGCAGCCTGCAGGCAAGCAGAAAGCTGAACTGGAAATAAATCAGAGGAGGAAATAAACCAACAGGTGGCCTTGGAGTTGTTGTTGGTTCCCTGCAATCCCTTATCACGCTTCTCCCTGTAATCCCTTATCACGGTTCGCCCCGCAATCTTTTCTGAGCAAAGGGCATACCAGGCGCCTGCAAACTCAGCAGTTCTTGTGCCTTGTTCATTGGCACTGCTGCTGGAAAACAAATAACATAAGGAAGTAAGGACTTGACCCTGAGGGCATTCCAACGACTGATATCATGCAGGATCATAGGCGGGGTGCTGCTGCCCCTCCCTTTCTCTTTCAATAAATTGGTGCTCAAGCAGGAAGACCTTTCCCCTACGCTCATTGCTCGTAGGGTAAGTCCATGTCTGAGCAGCAAAATTTGGGGCCGTCTGAATAAGCAACACAGCTAGGGACTGAAGGAAGGAGCAGCCAGCCAAGGTGGGTTTCCCATCCTTTTTTCCTTTTTTTTGATTGTTTGTTTGTTTTCTTTCTCCTCCCTCAAGGGCTTTAGAGCTTATTCCCAGTAGTTTGTTGTTGCAACAACCCCATGGGCCAGCTGGGGCAAGTCCTTGCTTCCTTCTGTTAAGGATGATACTCTCACCACCAGTGGGGCATCTTGCAGATGTTAGCACTCCTTCCAAATTCTCCTTCTCTGGAGAAACTAAAACCCCCCTGAATGTCATCCTGCAGGATGTGCTTGGGGTGATCCTGCTTGGTGTGGGTTTTGGACCTGAGGATCTTCAGAGATCCCTTCTACCTCGGCAATGCCGTGACTTTGTGATTCCTAGGGGCGGTTTTGGACTGGTTTTATTCATTTAGTTCCTTCTGGTTTTGCTGCTTTGGGATGGCTTTTCCAGTCCCTCTTCTTGCTAAGGCAGCTGAGTGCTCTTTTGTGTTTTTTTTTTCAGGGAGGGAATGAAAAGAATAAAAAGGTGTAATGAAGAAAAAAATAATATTAATCAATAGAATTAATGATCTGGGGGGAACTGCAGTAAAAAAGCAACCTGGTGGCAAGAGGGATAAAATCTGGGTAGAAGCTCAGGCTGCTTTGAGTCTGCAGGGTGCAAAAGCCACCAATGTGTGTGCTTTTTTTCAAGGGAATTTGCTTAATATTAGTATTGTAAAAAAAAATGGAAGCTTAACGAAAAGAAGACGAGAAGCTCTTCTCTTGAAAAGTAGTTCTCTTGAATAAAGCTCATAAAAGCATAGGGTTATCGGTTTCCTTTTTGGTCTCTGAAACTGATATTCCTGTTTACTAAAGAGGATTCAGTTGGGTTTGGGTGCTTATAGCCCACTCCAGCCAAATGGGAAAGCAATCCATGGTTTGTCCCATGGAGTTTTGGTACCTGCAGCCCAACCTTATTACCACTTTTTATCCCCCTCTAAGAAACTGAATCCTAAAACTTCTTCAAAAACACTATTTCCCAGCACATCCTCCAGCACTGAAAGTTCTTCCTGCAAATTTTCCCCAGGTGATTCTGTATTTGCTCAAAACCAAGACCTTTCTCCTCCTCAAGAGCTTATTGCCAAAAGTTTGTTGTTGAAACAAACCCATGGGCCAGGTGTCCAAGTCCTTGCTTCCTCCTGTTGATTATTTTGCAGCAGCAGTGCCAAGGTGCGTGGCACAAGAGCTGCTTAGTTTGTACAGCGCCCAGCACACCCTTTGCTCAAAAAACATTGCAGGGTGAATGGTCATTAGGGATTGTAGTGAACACTCAAGGACACCGAGGCCGGCTGATGCATGATTTCCTCCTCTGTTTTGTTCAAAATTCAGCTTTCTGCTTGCCTGCTGGTTGCAGGTCTGAAGTCACTTGGTGGGGTGTATGTGACTGACACCTCCATTCCATTTGAGCTTTGAGTGGTGATAGCCAGTATTATTCTTTTAATTTCTTTTATTATATAAAGTCGGTTTAAAAATTTATTTCTTTATTTCTTCCTTCCTGTCTTTTTCTTTTTTTTTTTTATTTTTTCCTTTTTTTACTTTTCCTTTTTCTTTCTGTCTTTCTTTCTGTCTTTCTGTCTTCTTTCCTCTTTCTTTCCTTCTTTCCTCTCCTCCTGCCCACCCATCCGCCTGTCCACCTGCCCACCTCCCACCAGTCTGTCCTCCTCCAGTGCCCCTCCAGTAGACCACAAGGGCTTTCCCCACCCACGGTTTCCCCACAGCCTCCCAGGTCCCCACAAATCCTCACACCCAGGAGGGTTTTGCTGGCCCCCCAACACTCAACCCTCTCCTTGCTATTGCAGCGTGCTCCAGCAGTTGAGGCCACAGGACAGGACGGGTGGACGTGATCAGTGGGACCTGATACTTCCTTGCCTGCCATGGGGAAAGGAGCTCAAGAGAAAAATCACCCAGAGCAAGAAGAAGTGCTGAACCCTCCAAGAGGTGAGGAAAAACAATGCAAATGGGGTAATGCTGGCAGAAAGTGAGATCTCCCTCTAGGGGGCACTGGTGGGATGGGCACCGGCCAGGGTTTTTGGGTGGGTGAGGACATGCTCTGGATTTTACCATGCAGCCACAGCTAAATGCAGCTGCAGGTCCCCAGACAAGTGCAGGTGCCTTCAAAGGACACGCATCAGCCCTGTGTGTTCTTTCCATCCTCCCATGCCCCAGAGCTACAAACCTTGCCAAAACCTATTTTTAGCATTCTTCCTAAAAGACTGTTGGTAGGCACTGTCCCAAGGACATCTCCCTGTCCCCAGGATCCTTATTTCCTATTTCTCCTATTCTCCTTTAATGTACTGCTACAGAAATTTACCTCCTGCAGGGGAGCACACACCTCTGTTATGGTTCTAGAAAATGGGTGTGTACTGCTGAGCACTTTGCCATGCAAGGGGGTACTGTACAGCAGAGTTCTCAAGACTCCTCCTTTCTCTCCCCTATCTTACACTTGAAGCATTTCCAGCCATGCTCCTTGTAGAGGTATGGAACCATCTATCTGGTATTTTCAGATGGTCTGACCCATCTGTTCATAAAGCCCTTCAAGTCAGACTCTGTCATTCTAGCAAGGCTGAGACCGCTTGTCCGATAGGCTCAGTAACAGGGAACACACACAACCTGGGAGCCCACCTGGTCACAGGTCATGGGGAGAAGATGCCTCGGGACTAGGTGCCCAGTGGGATACCCCCAAACCATATCCACTCTGGTTTGCTCACAAACATGGCTGAGTAGCAGCAGTGGTGGATGGAGAGGGTCAGAGGTTCACCAGGGCTCCATCGCTTTTCCATCTCATCACCTGATGTGCTGGACTTGCAGGGGAGGAAGACCCTCAGGACACAGCGGTGGCCCTGCACCTAGGGATGCCTGTGGATCCTGTGCCCACAGGCAGTGAAAGGACCCGAAGATGCCTGGGTGAGTGTGGAGCCAGTGTCCAGCTGGGCTTTGAGCTGTCCTTCTGCTGCTGCAGCACCTGTGGGGGTGAACCCCATGCCAAGGAGGAGGGAAATGGGGTCGCAGGGATGCCCGTGATCCCCCTGGCATCGCCTTCTGCTCATGCTAGCGTTGCAAGGGCTGTGCTGCTGTGGGACAGCACTGTCCTCACCACAAGCACCTTTCTCTTTCTCCTGCAGGCAAAGTGTGCACAACCAGCAGACAGCGTATCCTGGCTGGAGCAGTGATCGTGGTGTTGACTTGTGTCATCGTTGGGCTATCAGGTAAGGGCAGAGTGGCCACCTCCATCCCAGCGCCCTACACAGACGTGTCCATACCCCCTTCATCTGGGTTATAGAACTAGCCAGGACTGCAACTGGATGATCTGTAAGGTCCTTTCCAACCCAAGCCATACTATGCAAAGACCTCTGAGATCATCCAGCCCAACCTTTAACCTAGTACTGACAAGTCCACCACTAAACCATGCTATACATCTACAAGTTTCTTGAAGACCTCCAGGGATGGTGACTCAACCACTTCCCTGGGCAGCTTATTCCAATGCCACAACCCGCTTCGGTAAAGAAATTTCTCCTAATACACAACCTCAACCTCCCCTGGCATAGCTTGGGACCATTTGCCCTTGCCTTATCACATTGTACTAAAGTACAATGAGGTCTCCCCTAATCCTGCTTTTCTCGGGGGTTCCAATCCCACGCTCCCCACCCAGCAAGCTGCGTCCCCTGCTCTGTGGGTGGTGGCGTGGGGGCTTTGTGGGGTGGAAGGGACAGCTCTGACCTAGTCCCCTTTCCCCTGCAGCAGCCATGCAGGGGCAGAAGACAGCCCCGGTGCTGGTGTGCCCTTACGAATGGGTTGGGTACCGCAACACCTGCTACTACCTGTCGGGGTGGCATGAGCAAGGCAGCTGGGACTGGAGCCAGGAGCAGTGCTCGAGACACGGGGCCTCGCTGGCCATGGTGACGAGGGACTGGGAATTGGTGAGTGTGGGGTGATGGGTGTCTGTGAGGCTGGGACAGCAGGGTGGGATATCCCGCAGTGGGGCAGCAAGTCCCGTGGGGCTGACCAAAGCATGGTGCCCCAGCAGTTAATAATATAGTTATTACACTGTAGAGGCTGAAAGTTGGGCTGAACACCTCCTTCAAAAATTCTAATTTGTCTCTTTAACCCTCTTAGTCTATTACTTGAGCTGGGTGTACATGTCCATCCTTTTTAAGTGGTCATCCACCAAAGCCCACCTGTTAAACACGTGGCTCCGGGGCTGGTGCCAACGCAGAAATCTTGGGTTTTTCGACCATGGGACACTTTACTCAGCACATGGCCTGATGGCCGTAGACGGGTCCCTATCCTATAGGGGAAAAAGGATCCTGGGCCAGGAGCTGGCGGGGCTCATTGAGAGGGCTTTAAACTAGGTAAGAAGGGGGATGGGGCTGAAGCAAGGATTGTTTGGGCTGTGCCAGGGGGAACAATGGCAAGGCCGGAGGATAAGGTAAAGGCCCAGCTGAAGTGCATCTACACCAATGCACACAGCATGGGTAACAAACAGGAGAAGCTGGAAGCCATCGTGCAGCGGGCAGGCTATGACTTGGTTGCCATCATGGAGACATGGTGGGACCAGTCTCATGACTGGAGTGCTGCAATGTCTGGCTATAGGCTCTTCAGAAGGGACAGGCAGCATGGAAGGGGTGGTGGTGTGGCTTTTAATATCAGAGAGAGTTTTGATGTCATGGAACTTGAGGCTGGGAATGACAAGGTCAAGTCCCTTTGGGTTAGGATCGGCAGGGACAACAAGGCTAGTGTCCTGGTCGGGGTCTGCTATAGACCGCCGAACCAGGATGAGGAGACGGATGAGGAGTTCTACAGGCAGCTGACAGAAGTTGCGAAATCTTCAGCGCTTGTACTCGTGGGGGACTTCAACTTCCCTGACATATCCTGGAAGCACAACATAGCCCAGAGAAAGCAGTCTAGGAGGTTTCTGGAGAGCATGGAAGATAGCTTCCTGACACAGCTGGTTAGTGAACCTACCAGGGGAGGTGCCCCGCTAGACCTTCTCTTCACAAACAGAGAAGGACTGGTGGAGGATGTGGTTGTCAAGAGCTGTCTTGGGCAGAGTGACCACGAAATGGTGGAGTTCACTATTCTTGGCGAGGCCAGGAAGGGGACCAGTAAAACCACTGTATTGGACTTTCGGAGGGCTGACTTTGGGCTGCTCAGGACACTAGTTGGTGGAGTTCCTTGGGAGGCGGTTCTGAAGGGCAGAGGGGTCCAGGAAGGCTGGGCATTCTTCAAGAGGGAAATCCTAATGGCGCAGGAGCGGTCTGTCCCCATGTGCCCAAAGATGAGCCAGCGGGGAAGAAGAACAGCCTGGCTCAACAGAGAACTGTGGCTTGAGCTTAGGAGAAAAAAGAGGGTTTATAATCTTTGGAAAAGTGGGCAGGCCACTAGGCAGGACTATAGGGATGTAGCGAGGCTGTGCAGGGACAAAATTAGGAAGGCCAAAGCTCATCTGGAGCTCAATCTGGCTACTGCCGTTAAAGATAACAAAAAACACTTTTATAAATACATCAACACAAAAAGGAGGACTAAGGAGAATCTCCATCCTTTACGGGATGCGGGGGGAAACTTAGTTACAAGAGATGAGGAAAAGGCGGAGGTGCTCAATGCCTTCTTTGCCTCAGTCTTTAGCGGCAATACCGGTTGTTCTCTGGATACCCAGTACCCTGAGCTGGTGGAAGGGGATGGGGAGCAGGATGTGGCCCTCACCATCCACGAAGAACTGGTTGGTGACCTGCTACGGCACTTGGATGTGCACAAGTCGATGGGGCCGGATAGGATCCACCCAAGGGTATTGAGAGAACTGGCAGAGGAGCTGGCCAAGCCCCTATCCATCATTTATCAGCAGTCCTGGCTATCGGGGGAGGTCCCAGCTGACTGGCGGCTAGCAAACATGATGCCCATCTACAAGAAGGGCCAGAGGGCTGACCCGGGGAACTACAGGCCTGTCAGTTTGACCTCAGTACCAGGGAAGCTCATGGAGCAGATCCTCTTGAGAGTCATCATGCGGCACTTGCAGGGCAAGCAGGCGATCAGGCTGTTGCCTTCAGGGGGCAGCGGCGACCTGGTTCAGGAACGGCACGGCGACCAACCCCAGGCCGCTCAGTCCATCGGCTCACAGACACCAATGTGGTGGATGGCAAATGGCGTTTATTGTCGAGTCACATGGGCTTATATACCCGAGGCCCATAGCGTCACTTCCGCTTGCTTACATCACAGGCCACACGCTACTGTCCATCAAGGGAGGGGCTCCACCTTTCCGTACAGCACGACATCTTCCGGCCGCCAGACCCTAACTACCCACATCTCCCCCCTCCCTATGCACAACCAAATTAGCTAAAATATAACCATCTTAAGATGTAGACATCATAACTTAACTGAAAAACATAAGGCACAATAACCAGGAGAAAACTAGGAGGTAACTGGTAACCCTGAGTAAATACACTCTTAAAGTAGTTGTTGGTGTTCTACCAACATAATATTAACTTTCTCTAACCAACTTTTAACAAACAACACAAGCATATTTAGTATACAAGGTCCAAAGATAAGATCACACAAACGCATTGCAGCCCCCCACCCACGGAGGCCGCTTCGCTGGTGTCTGGATTCTGCCAGTGTGGAACTCTCAGGCTTAAACAGGACGCTTGCTGACTTATTGTCTTCTCATATCGCTGGGGTATACAGATTACGGGGGTGCCCGATGATCCGTTCCTGTGAACAGAAACTCAGTTTTCATTAGTTTTGTTCTGAAGTTGGGGCGTCGGCTGTTTGGAGCTTCTCTGGCCGCACGAGTTGCCATACCTTCGTGGGCCCTCAGGCCCTGGACTTGCGCCTGGGGGGTGATCACTGTTGGGTCCGTACCCATTCGCCGCTGCAGGCTAGAGCCATACAGTGTGTGATCCGTCCCAGTTACTTGGGCCAGTTGTCTCTTACAGTTGTCCCCCCATTCTCGTTTAAAAATGATCATCCCACCCCCGTCAAAGATCAGTCTACAAGTTTGTTTTGTATCAAACGGGAGCACGTCGTCTCCCCTGAAAACACCATCTATGAGGGTGGAGACCATTGCAGAATGAAGCCCTTTATCCACAATGGCTTTAACTATCGCTTGCACATCTTTAGGGTTTGTTGGTGAGTGAACCCTCTGCCCCCTGTCTGTCACCCAGACCGGGAACGCTAGCATGGCCGATAAAGCCCAGACAGCGCACGCAATCTTAATTTTCCTCCAATCCATGAGAGGAATTTCTCTGCCTCGCGGTGCAGCTTTATTTCGGATGGGGATATTTCTGCTATCTGTCCCCATTTCCTCCTCCGAATTTGAATCGGTATGTGATCCGGAGTCGGAGCTTGACTGACTGCTCACCTCCGAGTTCCGGTACCCTCCCATCGAGTTCCGGCCCCGCCCCCCACCCCTGCGGGCGGGCCGCTCCCTGCCTCGTGGCTCGCCCCGCCGCCTGCTCAGCGAGGCGTTTGCGCCACAGGAGCGTTTTCTCGGATGGCCGTTCCGATCGGCTCTCTGCCCCTCTCTCACGCTTCTACCTCCTCCCCGGTCGTCCCCGCAACCGTTCTCTTTTTCGCATTTCCACGTGTTAGTAAAACCTAACGCTTCATCCCCGTTCCCGCCGGAGGCTTCTTCACCCGATTCTTCGTCTTCTAGTTCAGCACCGTACTGGGGCGCACATGGCCGTGGTCTCTCCCAGATTTCCCCAGGCTCTGGTTCCCCACCGGCACCCCTGGCTTCCTCAGCCGAGCCACCCCACAGCTTCCACAACTTGGATACGACCTTCACAAGGGTTTCCATCTTCCTTGTTGGTCCGGGAGCTTCCTCCCCGCCGGGCTGGTCCCGCCGCTCCGGCCGCCGTTCACCCGAATCAGGAGTTTTCCCGGGTTTCGGCACCACTTGTTGCCTTCAGGGGGCAGCGGCGACCTGGTTCAGGAACGGCACGGCGACCAACCCCAGGCCGCTCGGTCCATCGGCTCACAGACACCAATGTGGTGGATGGCAAATGGCGTTTATTGTCGAGTCACATGGGCTTATATACCCGAGGCCCATAGCGTCACTTCCGCTTGCTTACATCACAGGCCACACGCTACTGTCCATCAAGGGAGGGGCTCCACCTTTCCGTACAGCACGACATCTTCCGGCCGCCAGACCCTAACTACCCACATCAGGCCCAGTCAGCATGGGTTTATGGAAGGAAAGTCCTACTTGACGAAGCTGATCTCCTTCTATGACAAAGTGACGCGCTGGGTGGACGAGGGAAAGGCTGTGGATGTGGTCTACCTTGACTTCAGCAAGGCTTTTGACACCGTCTCCCACAGCATTCTCCTCAAGAAACTGGCTGCTCTTGGCTTGGACTGGTGCACGCTTCGTTGGGTTAGAAACTGGCTGGATAGCCAGGCCCAAAGAGTCGTGGTAAATGGAGTCAAGTCCAGTTGGAGGCCAGTCACTAGTGGCGTCCCCCAGGGCTCGGTGCTGGGACCGGTCCTCTTTAATATCTTCATCAATGATCTGGACGAGGGCATTGAGTGCACCCTCAGTAAGTTTGCAGATGACACCGAGTTAGGTGCGTGTGTCGATCTGCTTGAGGGTAGGAAAGCTCTGCAGGAGGATCTGGATAGGCTGCACCGATGGGCTGAGGTCAACTGCATGAAGTTCAACAAGGCCAAGTGCCGGGTCCTGCACCTGGGGCGCAATAACCCCAAGCAGAGCTACAGGCTGGGAAATGAGTGGTTGGAGAGCTGCCAGGCAGAGAAGGACCTGGGAGTGATGGTGGACAGTCGGCTGAATATGAGCCAGCAGTGTGCTCAGGTGGCCAAGAAGGCCAACGGCATCCTGCCTTGTATCAGAAGCAGTGCGGCCAGCAGGGCTAGGGAGGTGATCGTCCCCCTGTACTCGGCTCTGGTGAGGCCGCACCTCGAGTACTGTGTTCAGTTTTGGGCCCCTCGCTACAAGAAGGACATCGAGGTGCTTGAGCGGGTCCAGAGAAGGGCGACGAAGCTGGTGAGGGGCCTGGAGAACAAGTCCTACGAGGAGCGGCTGAGGGAGCTGGGCTTGTTCAGCCTGGAGAAGAGGAGGCTCAGGGGCGACCTTATCGCTCTCTACAGATACCTCAAAGGAGGCTGTAGCGAGGTGGGGGTTGGCCTGTTCTCCCACGTGCCTGGTGACAGGACGAGGGGGAATGGGTTTAAGTTGCGCCAGGGGAGTTTTAGGTTAGATGTTAGGAAGAACTTCTTTACCGAAAGGATTGTTAGACACTGGAACAGGCTGCCCAGGGAGGTGGTGGAGTCACCATCCCTGGAAGTCTTTAAAAGACGTTTAGATGTAGAGCTTAGAGATATGGTTTAGTGGGGACTGTTAGTGTTAGGTTAGAGGTTGGACTCGATGATCTTGAGGTTTCTTCCAACCTAGAAATTCTGTGTGATTCTGTATGATACATTACTCCATCTTGGGCAAGGGGGCCTTTTAAACAGCCCACTAGTCTTGGATTCAGGACATGGATATTTGTTCTTGCTGCTCAATTGTCATTGGGATTTAGGTCTCCGCAAGCTAACACCTCACAAGCATCAAACGTGATGGTATGTGGTACTTCATTCTTTGTCACATTCACCCATATCTTGGTGAGGTATCCCATCACTCCTAATCCCTGGTCATCCTTTTTCCAAGCTGCCAATTGACCAAGGCTTTTTCTGAGGCATACGATCACCAGGATCAAAATTAATAGTTGATGTTTCCCTGACATTATTTTTAAATCTTAGGTTTCCAAATTATTATCAATATAAAGAGCAAGATGCATGCTGCTACCAGAATAAATACCCCTTGGGGCACTCCAATTCTATATAGGCCAGTCCTTTCTCTGGGATGGAGGAGAGAAACGGTAAGTGAAGCCTGTGAGCTGAGATAAAGACAGTTTAATAAGACAGGAAAATAGCAATAACAACAACAACAACAACAACAATAATAATAACAATAATAATACTCATAATCATAATCATAATCGTAAATCATAAACGTTTCTATAAATACATCAACACAAAAAGGAGGACTAAGGAGAATCTCCATCCTTTACGGGATGCGGGGGGAAACTTAGTTACAAGAGATGAGGAAAAGGCGGATGTGCTCAATGCCTTCTTCGCCTCAGTCTTTAGCAGCAATACCGGTTTTTCTCTGGATACCCAGTACCCTGAGCTGGTGGAAGGGGATAGGGAGCAGGATGTGGCCCTCACCATCCACGAAGAACTGGTTGGTGACCTGCTACGACACTTGGATGTGCACAAATCGATGGGGCCGGATGGGATCCACCCAAGGGTATTGAGAGAACTGGCAGAGGAGCTGGCCAAGCCCCTATCCATTATTTATCAGCAGTCCTGGCGATGATCTTGAGGTCTCTTCCAACCTAGAAATTCTGTGATTCTGTGATTCTGTGATAATCATAATCACAATCACAACTATCATAATAATAACAAAATTATTATTAATAATAAAAATTAAATAATATTAAAATATAATAATCATAAGCATAATCATAATAACAACAATCATAATGATAATAATAAAATAGTAACAACGATGATAATAGTACTACTATTAATAATGTGTACAAATAAGTGATGCACAATGCAATTGCTCACCACCTGCTGCCCGATGCCCAGCCTAACCCCAAGCAGTCCAGCCACCCCTTCCCTGGCTAGCCACCCCTATATATTGTTTAGCACGACGTCAGATGGTATGGAATACCCCTTTGGCTAGTTTGGGTCACCTCTCCTGGGTCTGTCTCCTCCCAGCTCCTGCTGCACCCCCAGCCTGCCCGTTGGCAGGACAGAGCAAGAAGCTGAGACGTCCTTGGCTTAGTATAAGCACTGCTCTGCAACAATTAAAGCATCGGGGTGTTATCAGCACTCTTCTCATCCTAAGCCAAAATATAGCATTCTACCAGCTACTAGGAAGAAAATTAACTCTGTTCTAACTGAAACCAGGACACAGGTGTTTCTTTAATGTCTGATTTATTCATTCCACTATTGCAGAGGAGGAAGGATGCTGTGAAACTCCCATTTTATTCCCAAAGTTCTCATTGATCCTTGTAAAATACTAATAAATATAATAAAATAAGTAACTCGACTTCCTTGATCTGAGTCTATTTTCAACAAGCCCATATCTAGGGATTACTTGCTTCAGGATTACCTTTATCACCAATCTAATTGGTGAGCGTGGGGTGATAGACGGCTCTGGGGCTGGGACAGCCAGGTGGGATGTCCCACAGCGGGGCAGCGAGTCCTGTGGGGCTGGCAGGAGCGTGGTGCTCCAGCAGCTTCTGACTGTCTGCCTCTCTCTTTGCCACCCAGGACTTTCTGAGGGTCCTCAAAGGTAATGTGGATTCTTGGCTTGGGCTGCGGAGACGGGGTGAACAACTGCTGTGGGTGGATGGCAGCAGCTTCAATTTGACGTGAGTCCTGCGAGCGGGCAGAGCCTGATGGCCCCGGTGTGCCACGGCCGTGCACTGCTGCTGGAGGGCACGCAGAGTGCTGAGGCTGCAGTGGCATTCCTTGTCGTCGCAGGTTCCCGGTGCAGGGCGGTGCAGAGTGCGTCTACTTGAATGACAACGAAGTCCTGACCTCAAGCTGTTGGCAGAGCCGGCCTTATATCTGCAGCAAGCCCCTGGCTGTGGGGGCAGCTCCTGAGAAAGGTGGTGGATAAAGGACCTTCCCCGTGCTGGGCACTGGCGGATCCTCTCATTGATGAAGGATGATGCTCTTCAGAATTCCTTTAAAGCATTTGTGTCCGTGGTTTTGAGATCACAAATGAAGCTTGATGACTAAGGAGGGAACCATGAGCAAGAGGTGCTGACTAACATCAGTGCTGAACAAGACCCAAACCTTATAGACCAGACCTGGGTCTGCTCTTCTCCACAACAGCTGGAAGAGCATCGACCACATTGCACTTTGTTGTACTTGTTATTATGTGAATATGGACAAAATGATTTTTCAAGCTCCCTTCCAATTCCTAACATTCTGTGATTCTGTAATATATATGTCCATATGTCCATATGTATTTATGTATATATGTATATATGTACTATGTACATTCATGTAAATAGATATTTGTATCATAGTCTGATTAAAAAGTTGAATAGGAAAAGCTTCTGGGGGTGACTTGTGGGCAAGCGATGCCTCGTAAGCAAGTGATGCTGCTTGACGGAAACAGCAGGTGACAACATCCCAACAGGAACCCTATGGCCTGCTTTGCAGAACCCCAAGGTCACTCACTCTCAGTGCAAACATGCTCACCCGGTGCTCACTCTGTGTTCTTGTTTTGGCTAGGCAGAGTTAGTTTTCCTCCCAGTTGCTGGTGTGGTGCACTGTTTGGAATTTAGGATGAAAAATCATCCTGAATCATGGAGAAATCCTCCTAAATCAAGAAATCATGAAAGCTCTGAAACAAAAAAGCTCTGAACATCCCAAGGATATTCAAAGTTTTGAAAAGCTATCGTAACTCGCTTGGAGGAGAAGAGGGGGATAAAGGCGAAAGGGAGAGTGAACAAGTGGGAAGAAACTTCTCCCCCCGTCCCCTCCATAGACTGGCTTCCCTGAAATGCAAAAACAGTGCAAATTTCCAAGACTTATTCTGGAGAATTAGAAAGCAGGTATTCTTTATTTACAGCACTGGGTACGTGGGGGATAATTCCACCAAACACATACACATAAGCAAGACAATAAGTACTTATTTACAGTACAGTGATATACATATTCATGCAATTTTCCAAGAATGGGCAGGATTATGTTAATGGTTTCTCAGATCTAAGTTTTCATATTGTCCCTCCTACTTTCACACACGCAGTACCCACTAGTGGCAGCACCTTGGGGTCTTCCTGATTAAGGCTCTTGATTTTCTTCACCTTGTACTTTTCTTCTTTACTTATTCTGCATGCTGTCATTGTACCACTTCAGCAGTTTTGCTTTTTTCAAACTCAGTTAATTCAATAGTTTGAGTTATACTTTGGGCACTGTGCTCCTTCTTCAGCCTTGATTTTGTGGCTAGAGCTGAGGCTTCTTGCAGAAGGCTGATAAAACAATTTAGCAATTTCAGCGATCCCTTCAACTTACCATGTTACATGTTTTGCATTTATACTAATTGTTTCACCTTGACAAAAAAAAGGTAAGACAAGGACTACCCATCAGCAAGCCAGAGGCTCTCATTTTGCCCCCCAGTTTTTTGCCTTTAGGCTTCCTCATATTGGACACAGCTGAAACTGGGGGAAAAGGAAACTGCAGTTCCTGGAGCTCTCTGCTCCAGCCTCCCTAAAAGCATAGGCCCAGGTGCCATGGCTGGGCGTAAGCTGAAGTCCCACCAAGGATGGGCACAGGGGAATGGGGGCTGTGGTCAGTCCCTGACGCTTCGTCTCCACTGCTCCTTCTCGGTCACTCCCTTCCCTGCTCCCCGTGGGGTCCCTCCCATGGGATGCCGTCCTTCCCGAACTGAGCCTGCGAGGGCTGCCCACAGGCAGCAGCTCTTCAAGAACTGCTTCAATATGGGTCCATACCTCGGGGTCCATACATCAGGTTCATTTCCCTTTCTTCAATCTGTTCTCACAGAGGTGCAGAAAACATCACTCGTTGGCTCAGCTCTGGGCAGCAGCGGGGTCCTTTCGAGCTGGCTGAAACTGGCCCTTACCTATCATGGGGCAGCTGCTGGACGCTTCTCACAGAGGCCACCCCTGCAGCCCCCTGCTACCAAAACATCACCTGGTATAGCCAATACATTGTCATACGAGAAAGTCCAATTGCTATTAGAGTATTTCCCTGGACTTAGCCTCAGGAGTGTCCCAGGCAGGACCGACATGCAGAAAACAGACTCCATGACCTGTAAGGTTGTAAAGTAGGTATGTTTATTCAGCACTGGCAGCACGAGTAAGTCAAATGTTTGCCCCACCACAATCGTGCACGCCCACCGTGGTAGTTCATCTTGCATTTATACAGAAGGGGTTACACAACTAAAGAAACGCCTATACATATTCATAACCTGTCCACGAAAGGACGGTCTTTATTTACAATGAGTTCTGAGAAATCGTTGCCATCCGCTCTGCCTTCACCTCCTCCTGGCTGTGCACGCACAGTGCCTCCTCGTGGTCATGGGCTGGGTCTTCAGGAAGGCCGTACGTCTTCCGCGCTATGGACTTTTCACCTCAGCCACAAAACTCATCTAAACCAGTTCTTGCTCAACAGAGGATGTGCTATCTTCCCGTTTTATTGCTTTTCATGTCTTGCTAGACAGTGTTTACAATGGTTATAGATATCCCTTGTCTTCCAGGATTATCCCATCTCAGTCCTTTCCTTGTGGTTAGTTTCCGATGTCCATCTGTGGTAGCTAAAACTTGCAAAATCAGCATGGGGTGACTTCTCTAGACCTGCTATAGTTCTACAGTTAGCCCTTTAGCATCTATTCCTTCCTTCAGGGCCATATCCCCCATTTCCATACATGGCTCATGCAGCATGTATTATTGAAGACAACAAGGAGAAGGTTCATTAATGCACATCGGATGCTCGGCCCTTGCCTGGAGCCGAGTCACGGAGCGAGAGAAGAATGAGAAAAAATAAAATAAAATAAATAAAACACAGCACAACACCCGAGGAGCATGAGTCACGGTTTTGCAGGAAGACAAAGCAGCCACTTTCTCACATTTCCCCTGAGCGTCCGTTGCAGAACTTGAAAGGTTGAGGAGTGTGGTTTTTGGTGGTTTGGGTCGATTTCCCTAGATGTGCTCCTCTGGTGGACGCGGTGGTGTAATGGCTTAACCCGACTGACAGCTAAGCACCACTCAGCCAGTTCTCTCCCCACATCCTCTCCCTGCCCTTTGGCACTGGGGAGAGAATAAAAATAAATAAATAATAAATTAAAACGAAAGCTTTTGGACTGAGACAGAGACCGTTTCTTAAGACAAAAAATAAACAATTTTTTTAATAATAAATGGTGTGGAATACCCTTTTGGACAGTTTGGGTCAGCTGTCCTGGGTCTGTCCCAGCTCCTGCTGCACCTCCAGCCTGCCCAGTTGCAGGACAGAGCGAGAAGCTGAGAAGTCCTTGGCTTGGTGTAAACTCTGCGACAATTAAGACATCAGTGTGATATCAACATTCTTCTCATCCTAAATCCCAAACACAGCACCATACCAGCTACAAAATGAGCACCAGGTGAGCATGTTTGGACTGAGCAAGTGAGCCTGGGGCTCTGCTAAGCGGGCTGTAGGGTTCTCGTGGGGATGTTGCCACATGCTGTTTCCATCAGGCAGCACCATTTACAGCACCAATTTATTGAAAGAGAGAGGGAGGGGCAGCAGCACCCTGCCTATGATCCTGCATGATATCAGTCGTTGGAATGCCCTCAGGGGCAAGTCCTTACTTCCTTATGTTATTTGTTTTCCAGAAGCAGTGCCAATGAATGTGGCACAAGTTTGCAGAGATCTGACCCTTTGCCCCTAGGGTGTAGTACAGCCTCTGTAGGGCTGGAACTGATACTGATTACAGTTTTATGGATTTACACGTTTTTTTGTTTTTTGTTTGTAATGATAAAAATAAAACACATTGCAAGCTAATTGCACCAATCCGTACACTAATACTCTCATCTGTGCTTGGTCAGGTTCAAACCTTGAAATTACTCACAGGGCCATAATGAGGAGGGTTGCTGTCACCCCAAATATTAGCAGTAAGTGTCCTGCAGGCTGGGGTTTTCGGGGTGGGCACCATACAGCTCTCTGTCTCCTGCAGTCTTTGAAAGGGAATGGAAAGATTCTTTATGGCAGACCCACTGGTATTCACCTTCACAGATATTTTTGCTCCAGCCTCTTGTCTTTGAAAGTCCCACAGCCTTTCTCCACACTTGGAAGGGAACTGAACCTGCAAACCATAACTGTCAGCACCTGAAACCAGCTCCTTTTCCTCTTGGAGAGGTGGCAACAGCAGCTCCTTTCTGCAGCCTGTCTCACGGGGCTCCAGGTGGCTTCTTGCTGCTGGCTTATCTCTGGGGCTGAAATGGAATAAATAGAGTCAGGGGCAGAAACGGAGCAAAGCTGCTTCTTATGCAGCTGCACTCACACTGTGGTGCTGAAGGAGGAGTTGTCCACCCATTTCCACGTCTTGTTGGATGCCTTTAATTCAATCCACACTAATGGCCTGCTCTTGTCCATAATCTCATCTACGTGCTCCTGGGAGATGGGAGAGGAGTGGTAGCTTCCAAGGGCCTTCAGCAAGAGGCTCGTTGGGGTGCATAGCTGGCTTTTTGAACCCATTTGGTTCATGCTCAAAAAGAGGGGCCCTAAACACCACCCATGCCTTGGGTGCCACCTTAGTGCCTGCTCTGAAGGCAGCTCAGTGGGTGGAAAGAGCTTAAATTTAGCACCTGAGACACCAGAGGCACTCCCTGAGCTCTGTGTCCCTCCTTCCTCCCACGCCAAAGGTGGGAAGGGGCCTCCAAAGACCTTTAGATGGCGACTCAGCCCCGTTCCCACCTCTTAGCAGGAGGAAGGTTGGAGCTAGACTAAACAACCCCAACTCCCTCACAGGACTTGTGCTCCAGGCCCTTCCCCATCTTTGTAGCCCTTCTCTGGACACGCTCCAGGGCCTCCATGTCCTTCTTGTAGTGAGGGACCCAAAACTGAATACAACGCTTGAGGTGTGGTCTCACCAGGGGACAATCACCTCCCTGGCCCTGCTGGCTGCACCATTCCCGGTACAGGCCAGGATGCCTTTGGCCTTCTTGGCCACCTGGGCCAACTGCTTGTCAAGGAGAATGCTGTGGGAGACTGTCAAAGGCCTTGCTGAAGCCTAGGCAGACCATACCAATGGCCTTTCCCTCACCCACCATGCGGGTCACCCGGTCATAGCAGGGGATGAAGTTGGTCAGGCATGGTTGCCTTTCATGAACCCATGCTGACTGGGCCTGATCCCCCGGTTGTCCTGCACGTGCTGTGTGATTGCATTCAAGATGACCTGTTCCATCACCTCTCTTGGCACCAAGGCCAGGCTGACAGGCCTGTAGTTCCCCGATCCTCCTTATTACCCTCTTTGTAGATGGGCATCACATCAGCAACTCTCCAGTCATCTGGGACCTCTCTGGATGACCATGACCATTGACAGACAACAGAAAC